GATTTGTATGCTATTATGTATATAATTAAAAAGCGTTAATTTTACCCTACCCTACCCTACCCTACCCTACCCTACCCTACCCTACCCTACCCTACCCTACCCTACCCTACCCTACCCTACCCTACCCTACCCTACCCTACCCTACCCTACTCTACCCTACCCTACTCTACCCTACCCTACCCAACCCTACCCTACCCTACCCTACCCCTACCCTACCCTACCCTACCCTACCCTACCCTACCCTACCCTACCCTACCCTACCCTACCCTACCCTACCCTACCCTACCCTACCCTACCTTACCTTGTTCTATTCTACCCTTTGCTATCCTATCTTATCTTATTCTACCTTCCCTACTCTACTTTATTTTTTTCTTCACCATTCCAGAAACCCTACTCTTTTTCAGTCTTCTAAATATACTATAAGCTCCAAACACTGTAAACATACGTATAAATTGACAACTCAAAACATTTAACTATTTACATATACGATGAAATGCAACATATCAAAGAACCAATTTTCCTACATTTTTGTTGCTTTTTTCGGCCAAAAAAAAGTAACAGACATTGTTGTTTTGGCCTCTCGATGCCAAAGTATCAGCCATAAAAGTTCGATTCGCCTTTTTTTCATTGAGAATTTAATTAAAAAACGTGACTCAAAGACAACGAAGAGTGTTTTAAGTTATTAAATCATTAAACAACTTTCCAAGAAGTACTCGAATAGTACAACGAATCTTTTATTAAGTTCATTAAAAATTATATTATACGTGAGACAAGTTATTTTTACTTTGGTATTTTTAGACTATCCAGATATTTTTTTTTAAGTTGAGAGTAGTCTTTGCTGTAGACTTTTGTACTGCCTCTAAATCACCTCTCTTCTTCTCTCTATACTAAAAGCTTAAAATTACATTTCCGTCTTTAGGTGTGACTTCTATTCACAGTAATTTTAAAAATTTTTGAAGCATTGGGATTTTTCATTATCAAGTTGAGGTTAGAAGTCAAATAAATCAGAGTTTAAAGCTTGAAGGTATAGTTATAACAAATACGACAAAATTTATAGTACAATAACATCTTTCAAACATTTAAATTGATCCGGACTTTATATGGTGTGTATGTTGTTTTACAAGCCTACGGTAAAACTAATGTAAAATTATAAGGTTCACCTTCAACAAACAATCAACAATAATATAATTACAAAACCGATATGACAGTAGATCCTGAGTGTAACTTCATTTGGGCGTCCTAACCGTTCTGCTTGTCTGATGTGTTCTCTGTTCACCGATGGATCGCTTCACTATTGTTGTATCGGCGAAGGTCCGTGGTGGAGAATGGCTAGTACTTTGTTGCCGTAAGGAACTAAAGAGTGAGCTCGTGCTTAATCCTGTTATCGTATTAAAATAGGTATTTGTTTTATATTGTCATAAACTAGTAAAAGAAAAATTTAAATAAAATTTCAAAGGTAATGACCTTCTATAAATGTATAATCACCTTTAATTGAAGTAATATTCTTACTGCTAACCATATTTTTCTTTAATACTTTACTTTTTTATTCTTTCCCTATTTGCTTTCGCTTACTTTTTACATCCTGCTTAACTTTCTGTGATTATTCCCAAACTGTTTGCAGAGGTCATTCCGCTTCGACGTCAGACGGTTTTTCCTCCTCAAAACTCATTGTTGAAGTGCAAATACTTCCGGCTCAACTAGGTCATCATGAAGTGTTTTAAACTGCGGTCTATAATTAGGGAGACAATCGTTTTGTTGGTCCTCTCCGATTGGGACGGATCAGCGCGCGCGAGGAAAGCGAGCCGGCTCTCTTTGTTTCGCTGGGCCCGCAGGCGATTCTTCGGACGTTTCGCTTTTCTTGGCCTATATAACTTGGTGGGCGGTCGAGTTGCGTTGCAACGACAGCAGGTGGAGCTATCGTATTGGGGGCTATAATATTTCCTGGGAAATTGGAAACGCAAAGTATTGGTCAAATAGTTTAGAGCTATTGTTTCGGGTCTTGAAGTGTAACTTATAGTACTAAAAGTGTACGTTGTGGCTTGGCTGTAGTACTAACGCCATTTCATTTAAAAAGCAGTTATTATTTTAAAGCTTTGTTTCGCCTTTTCATATTTTTTTAGAGCATTAGCCTACCTTAATATTAGACGGTAGTATAAAACTACCGAGTTACTATAGTATTAATCTAACGTCTTACTACACTCCACATCAAAGTAAAATTGCTTTACATTGTTTTTCCTAAGTAACTTTTTATAAGACGATCTTTTTATTGCCTAGAGGCCCTGTGACGTTTGTTATTCAACGTCATTCACATTGGAAGCATGTTTTGGAAAACATTTGCTGTACTATTCGCTTTGTTCCTTGTCCTAATGGTTGTGGATGGCCAGGAAGCTTGTGTCGATCGAGGTAAACCTTTCTGTTTTATCTTTTATTTTTACTTTCATTAAGCTTGATTGTTACTTTTAAGCTTAATGCTTACTTTTAAGGCCTATAAGTTTTAATGAACTACTGATTTTGCTTTCAGGCTAAAATATTTGCTTTTCTAAAAAAATTATTTTCAAAACTAAACTTTCAAGCCTATTTTTTAAAAACAAACTTGAGATACACTTTTTTAGTATAGCAAGTGATAAGAAAATTTTAAAATTAAACAGACGTTACGGATTGAAGACTAATTTACCAAACAATTTCATTTTCAGGCCAGTTTTGTGACAAAGTGCGCAAATTCTGTAACGATGCCAAATACCAAACTTTGATCAACAAAGAATGTCGAGCGACTTGCGGAAGATGCTAGTAAATTAGAATCTTTTGATTTATGTATATTTTTTGTAATAAATCAATCTGATATAACATATCTTGTGTTATAAATGATTCAAAGTGTTTTATTTTTTATGATTTTCCAGAAATTTTTTAATTTTTAAATTTGCGTAGCATATTAGCAGATCTATAGGTTTTAAAAGTAAATTTTGATTAAAGCTGACTATTGAGTTAAAGGCGTATTTTGCAAACCTTGTTAATAACTTGTGACAAAAGTCACAAAGCATTTCTGGTTAGTAGCATCCATGGTGTGTTATCAATTTAATATATCTTTTAAGTTCTTTGATGTTGTTTGTTTACTGTACAACTTGTTGTTCCCTTTTTGCATGCAATACTCTTATCTTTTTGTTAATTCCAAAGTAAAAAGTACTTAGACCCAACTTTATTTTTAATATTTTTCAAAGTACACCCTGATTTAATTACCAAACTCTACTGTGCAATACCTACCCTACCCTACCCTGTTTTGCCTTATTTTACCTTTTCACTTTCACCCTACTTTATTCTACCCTGCAATAACTTACTCTATTCAACTTTATAGCCCATCTTACACTGCCCTATTCTACCCTCCGGCTGTAAATACACTGCATGTCATTAATTGTCACTTCCTAATCTCAACTCCCCTTCCCTTTCCAAATTCAAATAATGTCCCAGAACCACGTATTCTTTCCCCTCTTAATAAAAGAGCAACTGCAAAATGCAAAAACTCATTCCCTCGAGGGCACACTTTGGTCCTAGCAGAACATTCCTCAAAGAACGGCGCACTTTCTGAACAAGAACGTGCATTTTTGCGATTCAACGCGGAAAATGATAAAACTCTTCCAAAAGGAATCGCTTCTATTTTCGATACAAGAATAATATTGTTCATCAGAAAAACAAAACCGCGTGGCGCTCCGTTTCTCGTTGTAAATATTGTTGAGGAGATTATATTATACAAAAAGGGATTTTGTGTATGTTTATAAATAAGAAAAAAATTTAATACAGTTGCACTCCTGTATAACCAATCATATTTTTTATGCCTTATAGCTTATAGATTTTTCACAAAAACAAATTTCGTAAAATTAATATAGATTTTATAGCCAAAAATGCTTTTTTAAAGTTTCATACAGTTTTTAAACATAATGTTTCAATTCTAGACTTAAACTTAGTTTCCAAGGTTAAGGTTTACGTTTATGCCTAAGATTCATTTTAAGTATAAGTGCAGTTTTAAGCCTAAGAATTACTTTTAGCTAAGCTTCATTTTTTAAACTTAAAGTGCATTTATAAGTTTAAAATTCATTTTTGAGCCTAAAATTTGTTTTTAAACCTATAACTCGTTCTTGTATTTAAAATTTTATTTTAAGCTTAAAATTACATTTCTAAGCCGTTTTCATTTTTAAACCTGAATTCAGTTTTCATCCTAAAATTCAGTTTTATGTTTGAAATTTATTTTTAATCCTAAAAATCATTTTAAAGTCTAGCATTTTATTTGTAAAGCTAAAATCTATTGTATTTGCCGATACTGTATTTTTGTGACAAATATCCATAAAAATCACTTTTTGTAAGCAACAATACCTTCAAATCATTCAAAATCATATTTTGTCGATACAAATCAGCAAGCTCTATTGCGTTGGCTGATCGTTCTTTGAAACGTTCATTGCTCTTTTCCATTTGAAAGCCACGAGGTTAGGGGCGGGGCTTGATTTTAATGCCTTATTGCTGAAAGGCCGACCAAAAAACGCGAAATAAGGAACAATCCAAGGCTACGGCATTGATTGACTGACAACAGTTATCCCAGAATAAAACTGAGAATATTGAGGTCTAGTTTGCGGGTTGTAGCAATTTTAATTTTGACGTAGACAACTAGGATCTAGGACGATATACGAATTGAAGGAAGGGTTATTACAAATGAAATCTTCTTCACGAAAGTTGAACTTGATTTTCCTTGTCGATTTTTTGAAAAATTTTCGAATTACGTACGTAGTCTTCTTACCTTTGTTATGACTCTACATATTTTCACTAAAAATGTTTTGCTTTCTTGAAATTATATAATAGTTGTTTATATTCACTTATGCTAACTTATAAAAGTTTTTTTTTGCGTTTCTTACTACCTGTTGTTACCTATTTTATTGTGTGAAACACACGTGAAACAATTTAAATTTTAAAAAAATATATTTTTTCAGATTTATTTATTCCAGTAATCAAAAGATAATATGGCAACGTCAAAAGTGTCGTTATTTGCCCAAAGGTTTTATAGTGCTACAAATAATCATCTCAAAATCAACAGGAATACTAAAGTAAGTTGTGTGAAAGTTTAGAAAATCATGTTAAATATATTTCTTCTACCTCATTATTCATATACATTACCTTACCATACATTACATTAAAAATTTCAAAAAAATTTTTTTTTTAAATTTTTAAACTTTTACGTCAAAACCTCAAACTAAGACTTAATTGGCAATTACTGCGCTAATTAAAACTAAAGTTTAAATTTAAAATTTAGGTGATAATTCAAGGCTTTACTGGCCGTCAAGGTACGTTCCATGGAATGCAAATGATTGAATATGGCACAAACGTGGTCGGTGGAGTATCACCAAAAAAAGCCGGTGATCAACATTTGGGAAAGCCTGTTTTTAGGGATGTTAAGGTAAGTTTTTTAATTTTGTGGGCTTTTACTTGGTAGTACGTACTGTATTGTCTTATTATCGAAGGTTTAGCAATTGCCCATACTTATATTTTACTAAACAGTGAAAACGTTATGTTTTAAAATACGCAACAGATCTTTATTCCTTAATTTATGCTATAAACTCTCAACTTTTCAGTATAAGGTATAGATAACAAAATTTCATTATAAAGTACTAAAGCAGGATGTTAAAGTATTAAAAAATATATTCAAAGATTTTCTGTATAAAATAAATTTTGTGAATGTTTACAAGTTCAAAAAACTTCATAAACATTGTCACACACGGACGTAATTGCAGGAAGCGAGAGAAAAGACAGGAGCCGACGCTTCGGTGATTTACGTGCCAGCTCCGTTCGCCGCAGCCGCAATTAACGAGGCCATAGATGCGGAGATACCTTTGGTCGTTTGTATTACTGAAGGCATTCCCCAGTTGGTAAGATCAGCTTAGGATTATTTTTAGGTTGAAATTTACTTTTTAAGCCTTAAATTAATTTTTAAGCCTGTAATTTAATTTTGAAGTCTAATTTTTGATTTTAAGCCTAATTTCCACTTTAAGCAAACCTTAAACTCATGCCTTTCAGGACATGGTCAGAGTCAAATCACGTCTCCTAAAACAGAACAAAACTCGATTATTAGGCCCGAACTGCCCAGGTGTGATCAAACCAGGCGAATGTAAAATGGGAATTATGCCTGGAGACATTCACAAACCCGGCTACATCGGTATTGTATCAAGGTCTGGCACCCTGACTTATGAAGCTGTACAACAAACAACAGATGTTGGACTGGGTCAAACATTATGTGTCGGTATTGGAGGTGATCCATTTAATGGAACTGACTTTGTGGACTGTTTGAAGGTGGGTTTTGGAGCCACGAATTTTTGAAAGAAAAGGCAAAATTTTAAGTTTTAGGAAAAAAAAGTACTACAATTTTAAATCTTGGTCTTTATGTTACCTACCCAGCTAGCAAAAATTTAAAAACCTCATTTTAGGTATTCCTCGAAGACCCCCAGACCAAAGGAATCGTGATGATTGGCGAAATCGGCGGCCAAGCCGAAGAAGACGCGGCCGACTTCCTAAAACAACATAATTCTGGAGAAGATGCCAAGCCCGTAGTCACATTTATTGCTGGTATGACAGCACCACCTGGCAGACGAATGGGACATGCTGGTGCCATTATATCCGGGGGCAAAGGTGGAGCCAAAGAGAAAGTTGAAGCACTGAAGGAAGCTGGTTGTTCAGTAGTGGCGTCACCTGCCCTTTTGGGTGTGGAAATGGCCAAATGCCTAGTTCATCATCATGTCAGAAGGTCTTCTACTTTATAGAGAGAGGATTTGTAAATGCTTGTCACTTTCATTGCAGTTAGAATTTTTCTAAACTTTCAGTCATTATCAACTTTGAAAACTAAGAATTAACCCTTTTTCTATTATTTTAACCTTAAAAGTAGCCAATTCTTTTTGACGCGGATTCATGAACAATGTTTTAAAATGTAAATTTTTTTACAATATCTTGAATATATTATTGTAAAATCACAAGAGAGTATAGTGCTTTCTAAATTATATAAAAATTTCAAAAAATGTTGTTTTAACCTCTTGAAATCACCATTGTTACCTATTTTAAACCCAAAGCTTTGTTTGTTTGTTAGAAAATTCATTGTTACGGTTCTTTTTATAAATTACAAGTCTGTCGGATTAGACACGTGTACATATCTTCATAACATGCCAAGTAACTTAATAAACTGTGAATTATAATCTCTCAAAGCAGTTAAAAAGAAGTATAACGTCAATATTATTATACTAAAATAATGAACGATTTTTTAATCTTGATACAACTACAAAAATTTAAAATCCAACCTCCTAATGCCTCAAAAACCCCAAAAATGTCAAAAAATCTAAAATTTATGTCTACTACAACATACTATACACAATCTTGTTAGTTTAACGATCGAAGCGAGCTGGAAAACGATTGTCGGCGCGAAGTTCGTCCCACTTGTTAACCCAAAACTTGGGGCACGTGTCCTTGTAGACGTTCTTGAAGAACTGGCACGGCTCGTGGTCTTTGCCCATCAATTCTTGACAACGATGGAAGTCAACGTAGTAAGCAAAACACTTGCGCTGCTTGCGGACTTGCGGGAAACGGGCATCGTACGGCGCAGCCCAGGCCAACTCATCGCGGGATTTCTCGTTCACGGAGCGGCTGAAGCATTAAAGGTTAGAATAATATATTGTTTTAGGTAGCATCAGCGAACTTTCAAGCTCGGCAAAGTTTAAAAATAGATCTTAAATTATTTTCATCACCTATAAATTAACACTTTGCAAAAAATAGCAATAGAATCAAGTTTTAAAGCAAAAAAATTATGTAAAACTTCCAAATTTTTAGGTTTTTCATTTCAAACATAAACGATATTACACTAGGCAAAAATTTGTTACCTAAAATTAGAATTTCTGAATAAAGAATCTGTAAAAATAATTTAAAACATTTAAAAAATTGGCTTATCACGAAAAAGGTTTTCAGGTTTTGCAAACGACTTAAAAAAGTATGCTATTCAAAAACCTCATTTTTAAATGAAAATCAGCTAAAATAAATTGAAAAACCGAAAATTTTGAACGCAGCAAAATCAAAGTTTTTGACATAAAAACGCAAAAAGTACATTTATTCAAAAGCAAAACAGATTTGAGGTAACAAATCTTGTAATATCTCTTTGCAACTTTTCACCTAGCCTTGCTTGTTACCTAAAATTTCTGCTAGCACACCTTCGCCAAACCATTCATATTACGATACCTAAAAATAAAAAAAAGTAATGTAAAAAGACTTACGAGTACCATTCTTCGGAATTTGGATTGCGCATCGGCTTGCCACGCTCATTTTCCATGCGCTGGCTAAAAGTTTTTGGAACAACGACCGACATATTGGACCAGAACCAAGTTTAGGTAATAATGCACCAACTCACGTCTGTTTTTGGTTGAAAACGTGTCGAATCCCACATTTTCATACCTTTTTTACCGTTTTTCGTCGAAAAACTGCATGGATCAAACGAAGCCGAAACAACGGTTTGTTTTCGTGCTGGAACCAAAGGAAGGTAGTGGAGGAAACTTTTAAACCAAGTTTTTTTCGGAAGTTTAAAGTTTTCATTGGATTTTAAGTAGATTTTTAAAAGTTTAAATAAGAAGTAGGTTTTTAAAATTTAAATAAAGAGCTTATCATTTTAATATTTAAAAATATTACTTTTGTTAAAATTGTATAATATGTTTTTGCTAAAAATGAGTTTTAATAAATGTTTTTTTATAAGATTTTACCTTTTTGATAGCTAAAACATACTGAATATTGCGTTCAAGGTGAAGTATAATATAATATTATGTTATAGCAAGATATGACTACCTTATTGTATATCGCTGACTAATAAAATATTATTGCGCGATAAATAAATAATTCGTTATGTCATAACGACATGTTTTATATATATTTTTATTATTTATGCTTCTCTGATGTTCTTTGAAGTTTTTTTACATTGTTATAATTTTAATGTTGATTTTTTTACGTTATGGTAGCTAAACGTACTTTTTATTTTGTAGGCGTTTTTCACAGGTTTTTTGATGTTTTTATACAGGAAACACAATTTTCTTTATGATTACAATGACTTTAACGACTTTCATTGTCTTTCTGATAGACTTTCTTTAGTATATAATCAAGAGGAAGATGCTATTCATCATCGGACATCAATTTTGTTCATCAACAGCTCTTCCTTGTCGTCTCTTTTCAACATGTCTCCTTTGACTCTTTTGATGTTAGCCTCGATCTGCGGTTTCTCACTTGCATCTGGCTTGTTTGGACATCACGGATGGGAGCCTCATCATCATGACGATCATCACCATGACCATCATGGACATGGTTCGGATTGGCACAACGATAATCACAATTCCCATGGTTGGGATGGCGATCATAGTGATGATCATCATGGTAAACATGGCTTTATCAAAGGAGACGAATCCGACTGGGCTCGATTGGATTACGGTGGCCACAAAGCTCATAACAGTGGAGATGAATGGCACTCGAACTATGGACATGAAGCTGGAGATGATCATGGACATGATGCCGGATATGCTCATGGTGATGAACATGGACATACTGGACATGGATTATGGGGACACCACGATGGACACCATGGTGATCATCACGGACATCATCCTTGGTGGTAAAAGAGATTGTAATTACAAATCTACTAACGATTTTATTGTAATGTTATAGATTATATTATTATATAATGGATACAGATGTTTTTTGTAAAGGATAATTTTTGATAATTACAAATACATAGTTGTATTATTTTATTTTTAAGGTTGTTTAGTGAAATAAATTCATTTTTTAAACCTTATTTTAAATTATCATAATATTAAAATATATTAAAACGGTCCGGTCAAACTCAAACTGAAATCGGTCCGGGCCGGTCAGACAACGCTAGGACCGGACCTTTTTCAAGTCTAATCTCGTATAAGCTGTAAAATTGGACAGCCGGCAGCGGTTCGAACTGTTCCTTGAAGTAGAGAAATCCCAACGCAGCATAAAAATTGTAAGGTGTTAAGTAGGCATCCTCCGGAATGGCCAACAGCATGTTCAGTAAACCGCGAATCTTCTTCTGTTTGGTGTTGCCATCTTTTCTTTGCGGCAGCCGATCACGAAGTTTTATACAAACCGCTTTGTACTTAAAGCAGTACCGCACACATTGCTTGTCCCACTTTTTGAGTTCAGCAACCTGTAAAATATAAGAAGATTAGTTTTTTTGATAAATTTTTTTTGTTTTAAAAGAGCTAGGTGTGAGAAATGGGCCGTCTAGGCCCGGCCCTATGATCGGGCCGTGCTTGAAAACTGGGCTCTGTAAATGGCAAAGTTTTAAGCTTGAAACACAACGCCACTTTGGCGGGGAAATTCAAAACTTAATTTTGTGATTTCAATTTTCTCAAGATTGGCTGGAAAGCGCGGTTTGGTACTTTTTTGAGTTTTATTATATATTTACATGATCTTCCTATGCAAAAAGTTTGCAGTCAATCAGAGCGGCGCAGGTCGGGACTTTCCTTGTAAATTTCAAAATGGAATGAGTCTTTTTAATTTTTTTTGTCGCTTTAAGGCAATCATTTTATCTGTTGAAAACTTTTTTATTATGTTTGGAAGAAATTTAAAAAAATTAAAATTTGCAAAAACATCATGAAAATTTTTAAAAAATTTCGAAAAAAAGCCGCTATGAAAACTTAACAAAAAATACGTTTTAAAATTTTTTGAAATTTTGTCTGACCGATGTTCGATTCTGAAGCGGACGTTGTTTTTAAAAAAGTGGAATACGAAAAGTGTTAATTTCTTAGAATTGTGTTACAACTTACTGGTACTTGTCGGCGAAGGATGCCACATTTTTTCAGCAATGCATCAAACGGTGCTTCTGTACAGCCAAGGTTCATGATTACCAAATTAGTAACGTAAAACTGTAATTTTTAATTGATTAAGACAATTTAAAATTTTTTTTATTTGTAATAAGCTACGGACCCAACAGAGTTTTGTATTTTGCATTCGGCGGCCCGGATTTGTGTTTTTTTTTCCGCCAAACTCTTATCTCAAAAATTGTGATAGAATACAAAAAACTAACAGCATCTCGAAGGGTCAGCACCATTCCAACTAGGGGAGGGGGGGGAGGGAGAGTAGAAAAACTTTCAGACCAATCCGAAATCCGACCGGTAGAAAAAAAGCGCGGGAAAACAACATGCAAATTCCGGATTCTCGCATTGGGTGCAGTCCTGGAAGTACTCTGTTCTTAAATTCCGTCAGCACGGAAACGCAACAAGGTCGACGAAAGAAAGATGTAGTGTAGGGCGTTCAATTGTCTCCTAGGACACGGCAAAAGTTGGGTTCTACAAGTTCAAAAACGGTGGCTTTGACATTTTTGAAAAACCGCGATTTGGTTGACCATAAGTGTTACAAAAACTCCACCTTCTGAAGCTGATCGAAGAAGACCCTTGGCGAACCCGAACTTTTTTGAATGTAGAGCTTCAGTGTGACCCTCCTACCGTATTATGTAGGATTCGCGCACTTGGAAAACCGTGGAAGTATAGTTGATGATGGGGAACGGACACTTCGCGGGTGGACACTTCGCGGGTGGAGATATATAGTAACTACTATGGAGTTGGCAATATTTATGTGAACTGTCAATATTAGTAGGGTCTATTTAAGCCTAAAATAACATCAAAGTAATAGAAAAATTTTTTTTATTAAATTTGGTTTTTTTTTTAACTTTTACATTTTTATGGTTAAAAAAGAGTGTATTTTTCGAAAACCGTGTCAAATACTATAAGAAACTGACTTGGACTTATAAAAATTATAATTTTGGTAAAAATTGACCAACTTTAAAATAATTTCATATGCATTTTGACCTGAAAACTCCGAATACAAAATCCGTTTTGTTATATCATCACTTTAAATGGCAGAAAAACGCAATGCCAAGATTTGCCAATTTGGCGGGAATTCAAATTTTTGACAAAAGATTGTTTAAATGTTAATTGTGTTGGTTTTTGTATTGTATAAGAACTTTAACTCCAAATTTTAGTAAAATTTTACCAACCGATAACAAAGTTACTGCATGTCAAGTCAAAAGATACCACAGTAACCCAGTAAATACACACGATAAAAAAAGTTAAAATCAGAAATACGATTTTTGTTAGTGTTTATTTGTTAAGTTTTACAATACTGCAAAGTTTGAAGTAATTTGGATAAGTAGTTTTAAAGTTACAAGTTTTAGGTTCAAAAAATGAGGTAAAATTCTATATGAAAGTGAGTTGGGCTTGAAAAAATAGTAATTTTGGTAAAAGTTGACCAATTTAAAAATTTTAAAATGCTTATCATATGCAGTTTGGTCCAAACAAGCTAAATATACACTTCATTTTGTTTCAGCTTCATTGTAAATGGTAGAAAAACACAATGCCAAATAGTAACTTTGTTTTCAGTTGGTAAAATTGTATTAAAATTTGAAATCAAAGTACTTATACAACACAAAAAACAATACCATCAACATTCAAACAAAATTTTGTCAAAAAGTTAAATTCCCGCCAAATTGCCAAATCTTGGCATTGCGTTTTTCTATCATTTAGAGTTAAGATCAAAAAAAGTAATTTTAGATTCGACGTTTTCAGGTCAAAATGCATATGATAGCATTTTAAAATTTTTAAATTGGTCAACTTTTACCAAAATTACTATTTTTTCAAGCCCAACTCACTTTCATATAGAATTTTACCTCATTTTTTGAACCTAAAACTTGTAACTTTAAAACGTACTATCCAAATTACTTCAAACTTTGCAGAATTGTAAAACGTGACACATAAACACAAACAAACACAATGTTTTAATTTTTACTTTAGTTATCAGCCGTATATACTCAGTTACTGTGGTATCTTTTGACTTTACATACAGTAACTTTGTTATCAGGTGATAAAAATTCACCAAACTTCGTATGTATACTACTGATACACTGGAAAAAACAGTAGTGACAACATTTTGGTTAAACTTTAACAAAAATTTGAATTTCCGCCAAATTGGCAAACCTTGGCATTGTGTTTTTCGGCCATTTACAATGAAGCTAAAACAAAATTAAGTATAAATTTAGCTTGTTTGGACCAAACTGCATATGATAGCATTTTAAAATTTTTAAATTGGTCAACTCTTACCAAAATTACTATTTTTTCAAGCCCAACTCACTTTCCTATAGAATTTTACCTCATTTTTTGAACCTAAAACTTGTAACTTTAAAACTACTTATCCAAATTACTTCAAACTTTGCAGTATTGTAAAACTTAACAAATAAACACTAACAAAAATCGTATTTCTGATTTTAACTTTTTTTATCGTGTGTATTTACTGGGTTACTGTGGTATCTTTTGACTTGACATGCAGTAACTTTGTTATCGGTTGGTAAAATTTTACTAAAATTTGGAGTTAAAGTTCTTATACAATACAAAAACCAACACAATTAACATTTAAACAATCTTTTGTCAAAAATTTGAATTCCCGCCAAATTGGCAAATCTTGGCATTGCGTTTTTCTGCCATTTAAAGTGATGATATAACAAAACGGATTTTGTATTCGGAGTTTTCAGGTCAAAATGCATATGAAATTATTTTAAAGTTGGTCAATTTTTACCAAAATTATAATTTTTATAAGTCCAAGTCAGTTTCTTATAGTATTTGACACGGTTTTCGAAAAATACACTCTTTTTTAACCATAAAAATGTAAAAGTTAAAAAAAAACCAAATTTAATAAAAAAAATTTTTCTATTACTTTGATGTTATTTTAGGCTTAAATAGACCCTACTAATATTGACAGTTCACATAAATATTGCCAACTCCATAGTAGTTACTATATATCTCCACCCGCGAAGTGGAACATCCCAACTCGCGGGTGCCCCCGCGAAGTGTCCACCCGCGAAGTGTACATCACTCGTTGATGATTTGCATTCCACCCGAAAAGGTCTCCAAAGCAAAAAAGGTCTCCAATAAAAAAGGTCTCCCGATCAGAAAAGGTCTCCAATAAATTTTTTAAAATTAACCCCTGACCCTACCCCTGACCCATTTGGCCCTACCTGACCCTATTCTTGACCTACTTGACCCTACCCCTGACTTATTTGGCCCTACCTGACCCTATTCTTGACCTACCTGACCTTATTCTTGACTTATTTGGCCCTAACTGACCCTATTCTTGACCTACTTGACCCTATTCTTGACTTATTTGGCCCTACCTGACCCTATTATTGACTTATTTAGCCCTACCTGACCCTATTCTTGACTTATTTGGCCCTACCTGACCCTATTCTTGACCTACTTGACCCTATTCTTGACTTATTTGGTCCTACCTGACCCTACCCCTGCCTTAATTGGCCCTACCTGACCCTATTCTTGACTTACTTAGCCCTGCCTGACCCTATTCTTGACTTATTTAGCCCTACCTGACCCTATTCTTGACTTATTTAGCCCTACCTGATCCTATTCTTGACTTATTTGGCCCTACCTGACCCTATACTAATTGCGATGAGTTGAAAGTTGGGCGCTAAAGATGGCAAACAACTAGAAGGTCAAACGGTGCCAAAGAAAAATGGAGCGAGCAATGTTGGGCCTGACACTAATGGATGAAGTAAGAAGCAGACGAATCAGGGCACGCACTAAGTTGAAGGACGTGGTGGGAGTTGAAATGACATTGAAATGGAAGATGGCGGCAAAAATTGCTAGAGCTGGAACTGAACGGCTGGACTGCAAGATTTTAAAGTGGAAGACGAAGAGAAAAAGAAAGATTAGGAAACCTAGAATGAGATGGGACGATGAGTTCGTTCAAATTTGTGGAAGAGACCGGCTGAATGGGTGCGGAAACGGAACTGGATGGAACACTGCTTTGGTTACCTTCATTGGCAAATAGCGAGATCAATTTTCAAATTTTATTTTTCTCAGAATGGAAACTTGATTTGATTTTATACTTATAGATTGCTTTTATCTTTCGTCACCAGTTGTAACTTTGTAATGAGAAATAAATAAGAATAAAAAGCTTACATTTATTTTCCTGTTATTATTCCCCACGAAGCCAACCCCAACAGTGTTGGTTTGGGTGACTTCTTGGGTCGGAGTTGGGTCGATGAACCTCTCCATTGGCCTTTCGCGGCCCACGAACAAGCGACGACAGGTTTTCCTGGTGGCATTGCTGAAAGTAACCAAATTAAAACCGCATCTTTCCAAACACCATTTTTTTTAAATCTACAAAAAGGTTCTTTACAATCCAAAAAATGACAAGAACTTTCTTTAATAAACATCAAATGGCAAGAACTTCTTTTCCAAAACAAAGTCTTTCAAAAAAACATCAAAAACTTACCGCTCAGCCATCTTCCGATCGACCAACGACCATCCCGAGCACAGTCGATGAACCAGCTTCCTCATGGTTGGCAAACTCAGCTCATTCACCACGCCAGTCATGTTAATCAGCGCCTGCGCCACAGACAGATAATGGCCTTCGCTTCGCAATAAACTCAATCGCATCAGATTCTCCAAATTGTACTTCGAAGCCAGTACGAAATGCTCCTTTAGCATCGTCGATGTGATTGGTGGTTCACCCATAATGGCCTGAAAAGACGAAATTTTACACAAATATCAATTTTTTGAAAATAAAAAGCTATTTTAACTTCCTTTAATCTATTTAAAATTTAATTGACTTTCATTATTATCACCTTCCATGGTCGTATTATAAAAAATTTCAAAAAAAGACGAAATGTCACAAAATTATTTAAAAAAGTCAAAATCACTCAATTATGTAAAACTAACTTATAAAATGCCTATGCTTTGTTTCTAGGCACCATAAAGCGACGTCAAAAATGACGAAATGTCACAAAAAATATTGATTTTTAAAAATTTCAAAATTCTTCAAAAAGTAGACGACAAAAAATACTCCTACTTGCTTAATAACCAAAAAAACCCCGAAATATTAAGACGAAATTTCACAAAGACTATTGATTTTTTGTGACATTTCGTCCATTTCCCAATTTTCTTTACAAAGCGATAAAACCCATATCCAATCGCTTACCTCTTCCATTTTGGCCTTCAAAAAGTTCAATTCATTGTCATGAGCAAAGATCAGCATGGGTTTGATGCACTTGTTGCAGACGCCCTTCCCATAATAAGCAAAATCCAGGAATTCGTTGAGAAAGTGCTTTAGATTGATGTGAAGCTTCTGGAGATATTCACGAGTGGCCACACTGAAGATTGGGTAATACTCTAAAAATGAAGATTTCAATTTCAAAAAAATGGAAAAAACTTTCTTTACAAAACAAAAAACCGCAAAAACTTTCTTTCCAAAACAAAAAATGGCAAAAACTTTCTTTACAAATAAAAAGCAAGAACTTTCTTTACAACCTTACCTCTAGCTTCCAAATCAGCACTAGTACCGAACTTAGCCATACTTTGGGCTTGTAGCATTCCTTTGTGGGCCAGTACTGTCACTCCACTGTAGGTCAACTTGACGACATTTGGGTCACTTGCAGTTCGAGCCCTAAAAAATGGCAAGAACTTTATTTACAAAACAAAAATTTGCAAGAACTTTCTTTACAAATCACAATTTTACGAAAAACAACAATAACTTTCTTTCCAACCTCCATTCTTTTAATATGAAGAAACTTTATTTCCAAACCCAATGTTTCCAAATTCCAAAACAACTTTCCTTCCACTCACCTCAAGATCAACTGTTCTTTGGTCGGAAATTCGAAATTTCGCTTTTTCTGAGCTTGAATACAGGCTGGAGCGACAAAGTCGTTGTAGACGTCTTCCGGGAACAAGGTGCTTGGTTCACTGACTTGGCTAATCACTTTCGACCACTCCTTGTTCTTGACGGCATCGAACATGAACTTGGGAACGACCTCTTCGCCAAGATTACAGTGAATTGCTTCTGTGACTCGTTGTGTCAGAGAAGACATGTAGGGCTGAAAATGGAAGAAACTTTGTTTACATAAAATAATAAGATAAATTCAGGGTATTTTATCCTAGAATAGCCTAATCTGCCCTCACTTACAGTACCCTTACAGTCGACCAGTCTACACTAACAGTATCCTAGCATAGATTACAGTATCCTATCTTACAGTAGCCTACTCTACAGTATCCTCCCTTACTTTACGATAACCGAGTCAACCCTACAGTTGTAAATACTTATTGTTAACAACTATTATATTAAAAGATGTTCAAAATGAACGTGTAAAGTGTCTTTTCCGACTAAATCGAGTATGCTAATTTCAGAAAAACTGTTAATTATATACCCGACACTACCCTACTGTACCTTAAACTACCCTACCCTACAATAGCATACCCCCTAACATTACCTTGCCTTCCTCCCCTTCCACCCAAAAAAGCTAAAAACTTACCGAACAATGCTGTAAAAAGTACTTGGCCACATCAATCAATACCGTATGAGACGCGTACTTTTTGGCGGCATGGCATAATTTCACAAATCGGGGGTGGATGGGTCGAATGTTGGGTTCCAGATAGACCAGCAGTTCCGTGACCAGTGGTCGATCTTCGGCCGGTAGATGAATAATCGGGTTACCGTACGCATCAAACTCGGTGCTTTGCTTAATCATATTGGCCAAGCCAAACGAGTACAATTGCAAAAAGTTTTTGTAACTGTAAATGTCGTCCTTGCCATCGTCAAATGTGATGGTGACATCGGTGTAGCGGAAGAAGGATGGCGACACTTTTTCAAAATTCTGAAAAAAAATTAAACTTTCGAAATAGATCACGTTTTACAAAAAGTTTTAAAAATTGTACATAAAGTTTTTTGCGGTTTTTCAAAAATTAAGTTTTGTAAAGAAAGTTCGGCGCTACTCTAAAGAAATAACCCAGTATTACTAATGAAAGCACCCAATTTTTATCCTATTTAAGGCACCCAAAGGTATTCAAATTTTGCATAATCTTGCAATTTCATTTTATTGTTTTTCCTTTTTTGAAAACGGTCATTCATATTTTATCGACTGCGTGAGACGGTCGGGTCAGCATGGAATATGACCGTGGTGATCATGGATACATCGACTACCTGACAACCTAGTTATTGCGGTTTGCACAAAATTTTGTAAAGAAAAATTTTCTGCGTTTTGGTATAAAGCAAGCAAAACTTCCGTTTCGCAGCCTGCGAGTGACAACTTATACGATAAACGAGGTTCAGAACTTTGTAAAAAAAAGTTCCTGCCATTTTTCAATAAGTCTTGTAAAGAAATTTCTTGCGGAAAAAAAAAGTATTTTGTAAAGAAAGTTATTGCGGTTTATCGAAAAAGTGCATTTTGTAAAAAAAGTTTTTGCGATTTTTAAAAAACTGACAAAAATCAGATCCCGCAGCCTGCGAGTGGCAAGTTATACAACGAAAGCATTTTTGACCTCTGTAAAGCATTTTAAACCTCTGTAATATTGCGGTTTTTCGAAAAAATTAGTTTTGTAAAGAAAGTTCCTTCGTTTTTTTAATAAAACAAGCAAAACCCTGGTCCTGCAGCCAGTCACAAATTATACAAAGAACAAAAAGTGTTCAATTGTTCAAAAAATACTGTGCTCTTTAACACCAAAAATTTTCTTTAAAAAGAGGCTCATAATTATCTGAACATCAAAACATTCAATAAAACTCTCACATATCTAATCAGTCTCATATCGAAGAATTGATTTGGCCTTTGGAATGGTCCATTTCAAGCCGGACTGGTCGGTCGTACTTGCCAAAACTAAACACAGCACCATCGACCACTTTGAAGCTGGTGAAATTGGTCGAAGTCGAGAAACGGACTTGAGCCACCACTTCCCATTCCGTGTATGACGTAGGGTAGTCGGTTCGAACTTCAACATAGCCTTCGGCGTCGCTAAAAGTAGAACATTTAAAATTTTATAGTTTGTAAAGAAAGCTCATGCAATTTTTTGATTTGTAAAGTAAATTCTTGCCATTTTTTGTAAGAAAATCCTTGTTATTTTTGGTTTTGTAAAAAAAATTCTTGCTATTTTGAATCCAAAACCACAACATTCAAAGTAATATAACCAACAGCTCACAAAAAACCGCAGTTTTATACCTAAAAACCTACTTCAGAGTAACCTTTAAGTACAGATCCTTGAAAAAGTAACTGTATTCATTTTCCGAAGCCGTGGTATCATCGTACACTAACTTTTCACCATCACAATTGATAGAAACGCCCAATCGTTTTGGTACCTCAATATCCACCTCCTCCAACGCCATCACTGCTTTGTTGATCTTCCGTTGCTCCTCCAGTAGTAGTCGGACCTCAGGGTCGCATTGACCGGTCTGGAGGTTGGTATTAGAAACAGCTTGAGCAAGCTCTTCACAGTCATCCGGGCAGGTCGCATTTGACTACAATGTAACGTTTATCACTTATTAAAAATGTCACTTTTCATGAAATTGAAAGTTAAAATCATAAGATTAAGTTTAACATCAATAAAGCAATGTTTTTAGTCCGCGTCAAAAAGAATTGATCACTTTTACTACATGAATACACTGAAAGATAACCAATTCTTTTTGACGCGACTTAAAACTGTTATATATCGGTCAAAAAGTTTGTGGAAAAAATAAAACTTAATTCAACGTAAAGCTCTTGAACTATTCTAACTATTTCTTGAAAAAAAATTTATTATTTTGTCACATTTATGACCAAAAATCTAAGCCGCGCCAAAAAGAATTCGACTTTTTCACTATATAAATACACTGAAAGCCGACCAATTCTTTTTGACGCGGTTTTTCTTGTTATTCCTTTCAGTGAGTTCAAAGCATTCAGCAAAGAAGCTCTTACCAACTGATCCAAGTTTTTGGTGTTGTGCTTCAACTCTTCATGGTAACAATCGTCCATCATTTCGACCAATTTCCAACGTGATGTCACCAACCAGCAGTAGCACAGAACTCAAAATGAAACCTGAAATTTTAAAAATTTTCGAAAATCATTCTTCTAAACAAAATTTGAATATTCTTCCAATTTTTTTCACTTGCAAAAAAAAATATTTTGATATTATCCATGACATAAAGGCTAAGATAATATCAATCGAAATCTCAAGTTTTCAGCTTTCTTTCCATCAAAAGAACTTTTTTTAGTTTAAACAGATAATAAGCTACGATATCAACGATAAAATTGACTTACATTAGGCATGGAAAAACCGTTACCAATCCATTCCATTCATCTTCACCACCAACATATAGGCTTAGACCGTCAATTCTGGTCGTTAAAATTATGACAATCCGGCCTATTTTAAATCCGGCCAATTAAAATGTAAATATCATTAAAAAACACTATAAATTGTCACTTTACAGTGTTTTACCATAGTAAAAAATCGTATGTTAACTTTAGTTTTACCCTACCTTTACCCAGACAATTTTAGCCCTATCCAAGTCCACCCTTAACCTTCTTAGTCCTACCCAACCATACGCATCATACTTAATATACCATATCCTACCGTACCATAACATACTATAACACACCCTGTACTAGCTACCATAACATACCTTCCATACCATATTGTATTATAACATACCATTATATACGATACCCTACTGTACCATAACATACCCTACCGTACCATAAACTACCCTATCTACCATACTAAACCCTACAATACCCCACCATACCATAAATTACTACACGACACCCTATACTATCTACCATACCATACCTTACAATACCATACCAAACTGTACCATAACTTACCTTATCCAATGTTATACAACACCACCGTGTACTATCCATGGGTAGAGTAGAGTAGGTAAGTAACGCAAGATCAATTAATCAGGTATAGTATGGTATGGTATGGTATAGTATAGAGTATAACATGGCATGGTATGCTATGGTAGGATATGTTATGGTATGGTATATTAGGTATGATTGGTATGGTCGGGTAGGGCTAAGAAGGTTAAGGGTGGACTTGGGTAAGGCTCAAAGAAAGGGCCGAGGGTAGAGTCAGGTAGGGCTAAAGAGGTCAGGGGTAGGGTCAGGTAGGGCTAAAGAGGTCAGGGGTAGGGTCAGGTAGGGCTAAAGAGGTCAGGGGTCGGGTTGGTAGGACTAAGATTGGCAAAGGTAAGGTAGGGTAAAACTAAAGTTAACATACGATTTTTTACTATGGTAAAACACTGTAAAGTAACAATTTATAGTGTTTTTTAATGATATTATTTAACATTTTAATAGGCCGGAATTAAAATAGGCCGGATTTAAAATTGGCCGGGTTTTCATTGGCTGGATTTAAAATAGGCCGGATTGTCGGGGCGCGAAAGCTTTAAATTTCATAAAATGTTAAAGCTAATAAAAAAGCGTAAAACTGCATAATAAATTGAAAAACGTTGTGATTAGATGGACTTGAGAAATGAAACAATGTAATGTAGTTAAAATGCTAAATGTTGGCCAGCGATGTGCGTAGGTTTCTGTTTTGAAATTTTCTTACGAATTAGATTTTAAAAAACGGTTTAAAGGTTTTTGAAATGGATGAAATTACTATTTCTATCATAGCATAATTAACAAAAAGGGTTTTCGTTAATTTTAATATAAATCAAAGTTTGTCAAAACAAAGTAGTATGAACGATTAATTTTATAGACTCAAGAATCAAGGTAATAATAGGCTTGTTGTTTTTACTATTATGTATTTTTCAATATGGTCAAGTGAAATATCAAAAGGACTTGACTAATGTTAAGATATCAGGTGTAAAAAGGCGAATAATTGTAATTACTCCAACTCATAAACGACCTGAAAGGCTGGCTGATTTCACGATGTAAGTCTTGATATTTTTCTCTCTTGGCATTAGATTTGAAGTTTTACGACAATGTCAGCTAAAATTTGTGCTTTTTTGAAACTTGTAATAACAGGTTGGCCCAAACCTTGGCTTATGTGAAAGACATGTTTTGGATAGTGGTAGAAGACGGAAACAAAACTGTAGACAAAGTTGAACAAATCATAAAGAGGACTACAAAAGGCTATGCTTATTTGCATACTACTAATATGAAACTTCCTTGTAAGAATCTTTGATTTGCTTTATTTTATTTAATGTTGTTTTACATAAATTTACTTTATGTAAGCGTGCTGTATATTGTTAATCCCTGTTATTATCTCAAATATGTTTTTTAGGCAAAGGCTGGGCACAGAGAAACTTGGCACTTAAATATTTACGTGACCATAAAAATCACTTTACAATTCATGATGTTATTTACTTTGCTGATGACGATAATGCTTATGATGTTCGTTTATTCGGTTATATTAGAAAAGTCGATAAGCTAGGAGTATGGGCTGTTGGTAAGTGGTCAACTACTGTTTTTGGATTACAATAATATTTGTAGGCTTAGCTGGTGGAACGTTTGTCGAAAGTCCTATATCAAAGAATGGTAGTTTGATCGGTTGGAGTGTGTATGCCAAGCCGAAAAGAAAATATGCAACAGATATGAGTGGTTTTGCTGTAAATATGAACCTTGTTTTGAAGAAAAAGTAAGATTTGTGTTTATACTTTTTAAAATATAGGTTTGATAAATTTTATGTTGAAATTTGGGCTTAAAAATATAATTTTAAGTTCGAAGATTTTTAGGCTTAAAATATTTTTTATATTAAAAAAGAAGGTAAACTTTTTAGTGCTACGTTCAACTATCACTGTGCTGGTACCTATCCGGAAGACTGTTTTCTATCTCAAGTAAAGGTCTCTTGGCCGGAAGTTCAAGTTTTTGGCTACAAAAACGATGTTTTGTTAGTATGGCACCGTAGAACAAGTCTTGGTGATTATAAAAAACCTGCCAATGATAATGGGTACTTTTATGAGGAGAAACTTCCTGAATCCAACTTTTGTGGTCAACTTCAGGAGATAGGTGGAATGTCATACGATGAGGTGATGAAGGTTGTCGCGAGTGAGAAAGGATGACTTTATGTTGTTTTCTTTTTTATATTTGTTTTTTGCTGGAGTATATGTACAAGGATATTTTAAAGTTTAGCTCTTTATGAGTGTAGTGGATACTATGGACATATTTCACAAAAAATTTATTAAAAAAGTTTTTCAATTAAAAATTTATGACAAAAGTTCTCGGTCTTCCTTGGCAAAGCCGATTTCCAAGTTGATAGTACCAATGTTGAAGAACTTCTTGGGGGTGGTACCGGAAGTGATGTATTGGGATGGGATGCGGAATCTGACTTTGCGTTGACCGGGCTTGATACTATCGTCACAGTCGTGGTATACCTTGAAGACGGGGTCAATGTTGGTCAATTCCTTGGTGGATCCGGAAAGCTTGAATTTGCCTGAGGAGTCAGTACGGCCTTCTTGAAGTTTGTCATCTGGGTCTGGTCCTGGAATTTTGTAAAGTGTAATTTTAGGCTTAGGAACTAATCTTAAGATTAAAGAATTATCAAATTTGTTTCAGCTTGCAAATGTAATGTTTGACTTATATGTGAAACCTGCTAATGACAAATGAAATTTCAGACTAAAACATTACTTTTTAGATATAAAGGTAAGAGTTCTAGCAGGAAAAGCAATGTTAGGTTAAATTAATATGTAGTGTAACTTTTGGCGATAAAACAAAAACTTACCATCATCTTCATCCCACAGCGCAACGCGAACATTGGCAGCCGGCTTATCACCGCAAAGTAGAGTGCCCTCTACTCCGACCGCCTGTTCTCTCATACATTGGACAGTACCAACCAGAGCTATCAACAAACACGTCGTCTTCATTGCAAAAAATTCAATGAATGTTTTGTTTAGGGATTGGCTTTAAATATTGATCATATATGACTGTTTATGTCGGTGATAAATAAATTTTGGCCATATTGTTTTGATTTGTAAACAGAAAATCAAAACACAATTACAGGGTGTTTCAAAAAATTTTCAAATTTAGATTCTTATGATTTGATTTCAAAATTAGAATTATTAGGTTGTGCAATTGAAAACTTAGAAAAATTTCGAGTAAAAAAAGCATTTTCAACCGAAAATATGTGTATTTTGGCGAAAATGCTCATTTTCAAAAATTAATGACGACCTTAAAAAGCACTTAAAAAATCTAAAATTTTGCACAAAAAATTGTACCAGTCTCTACTACCAGTGTACCAAAATTTAGAATTATAGCACACGTAGTTGCAAAGATATAACTCGTTTCTACAAACAAAATATGGTGAAACACCCTGTATGAGGTTGTATACTTTCCTTGTAAGGATTTATTGTTTTGTCTAAAATGCCGAAAAAATACTTACGCGGCTCACAGTGGCATGTTGATCTGAAAATAAGAATATATTCAAAAATGTGAAATACAAAAACCGACTTGTTTTAATATGAAAATTACAGGGTGCCCCAAGAATGGCCAATGTATATCTTTTGTAAAAAATTTTGGTTTTTTAAAGTGCATTTGAATTTTTTTATGAATTTAAAAAAGCATTTTTACCCCGAAATACACATATTTTTAGTTGAAAGTAACTTTTTTCATCAAGTTTTTGATTGTTTTTTTTGCCTCCGCCGGTAATTTAAAAGCATCCACCGACTCGCCGCCAACGCGGAGAACATAAATTTTCATCTCAAAAATGCATTTCCAACCAAAAACAATCAAAAACTTGATGAAAAAAATGACTTCCAACTGCAGTTACATTCCTGTGCATTGGCATGTCTCTCTCTGCGTTCTGCTTAGAGTTATGTCACTTGGCATGCATCGCCAATATAATTCAATAACCGTGTAATCCCCTATTCTCATATTATTTTGGTTATATCATATCGTTTGTGGGTAAAGTGTCTAAATTTGCCAAATTTAAAAAATACAAAATCATGCCATATAAGCTTATTACCACGGTTTTTACAATATCAAAAAATATAATTTTTGTCGAAATTTACTAAAATTGGGCGCAAGCGAAATTTTCATCTTTCTCTATTTCCAATTTTTTTGCCGTGTGCAACTGAAAATATGTGTATATGGGGGTAAAAATGCATTTTTTTAAAATTCATAAAAAATTTCAAATGCACTTTTAGGGGTGAGAAAAGGCCGGGCCAAGCCTACTTTTTAGGCCCGGCCGTTTTCATTCTTTCCCAGGCAGGCCCGGCCGGTTCAGAAAATTTCTAGGCCCGGCCCAGCCCGGCTCGTTTTAAAAAATTTTAAGACAAAAAATAGACGTAAATTTGGCTTTACATTGTTTTTTCGGATCATTTATCGATCATAGTACCTAATAAAATTTGTTTATAGAAAATATACATTGACCATACTTCAGCCGTAACAAGTGTGGTATTTTAGCCATCACTAAAAGATGAATTAAAAATTTTTAAAATCTCGCAAATTTCTTGGGACACCCTGTACAAAACGTTTTTTTTAAGTAGATATGGCAAAAAATTTTTTAGAAACATCAAATGTATGTTTATTAATATTATATCAGACTGGCCAAATATGAATGATCGTTTTTGATAGCTTAACTTTAAAAAAAATGTAAAAAATTTAATTTCTATTATTGGTTAAAAAACTGATTTTAAACAATTCTATTTGTTTTAAGGCCGGTAGAAATATAATTTTTACCCTATTGGACTGGGACTTTTAGAGTAATAGACGTAAATATACCCAATTTTACCATAGTCAGTTGCGATGACCCCAGAGCGAAACCACGAGTTGTTCATGTTAATCAAGTTAAAAAGTTTTTGGGCCCAATAAAAAACCACGTCGGACCTTCATTTAACATAACACAATTCGAAGATGGAATAGCAGAACCAACCCCGGGATATGAGCACAAAATACACCAAGACCCAAAAACTATCCTATCCTCAAGCCCAAACCAAAACGTTGATAATTCAAGAAAAATACATAACTATAATTTACGAAAAGCATTTTTAAATATTTTTGTTTTTTGACTAATGATAGTACTCATTAATTAGAATCAAAAAATATTTTCAAAAAAATTTTTTTTGGTTTACTGTAGGAGTACTGTAGATTTTACCTAAATTTTGTAACTTGTTTGTCTGTTAACCGATTTGGATGAAACTTTTTTTGTTTGATAGAGGGCTTAATACTAAGAACTTTTGCTTTTGACAACTTTTTTTCATTATGCCCGGAAAGTATTTAAAAATTTAAAAAACTTCAAAAAATAGTAAAAAATATTATATTATGCCATTTTTCTCAAAATAAAAGCACTTTGGAAAGACGTTTTCTCTACAAATTATTAAAATAGAGGTTTTCTTTTGATTATTGTATACTAGATTACTGTACGAGTGCGGTAGGTTCAATATCTCTATAACGAAGAGTCGTAGAGAGGTGGGGTCTTTACCATGTTGTATGGACAAGATATAGTATCGTTATATAGTATTATTTAATGTAGTATTATATTCAAAAATGGTACGCATAGAGGTTTTTTTATTATAGCTCAATTACTGTACTCGTGACTCAAGATACGAAATTTTACTACGGTAAAAATATAGATAAAACTTTTTCTTCAACATAAGTTACTAATTTCGGATCTTAAAAAAATCTTTAAAATTTAGCGTCCCCACTGGGTCTAAAAAATACAAAAACAAAAAAAAACTTTATTAATAAACATTAATTAAAATCAATAAATAAAGTCAAAATAAGAATGTAAAAAAATTTTGAACCGTTTAGAAGCATTTTGAGCCAAGTTATAATATTACGACAAGCCAAAATGAGTAACTGCCTTAGGTTCACGGCCTCATAGCTCACGCTTGCCCCAATTTCAGGAAATGTGACTACACTCATTTTAACGGTACTTACCTCTACTTTAATAACTTGTATTGAAAACGTCTTCACAAAGTGCTTTTTTTTTGAGAAAAATGGCATACTATAATATTTTTTACTATTTTTTGAAGTTTTTTAAATTTTTAAATGCTTGCGGGCATAATGGAAAAACGTTGTCAAAAGCAAAAGTTCTTAGTCTTAAGCCCTCTATCAAACAAAAAAAGTTTTATCCAAATCGGTTACCAGACAAACAAGTTACAAAATTTGGGTAAAATCTACAGTACTCCTACAGCTACCGAAAAAAAATATTTTTGAAAGTATTTTTTGATTCTACTTAATGAGTACTATCACTAGTCAAAAAACAAAAAAATTTAAAAAAAAGCTGTTGATTCCTCGCACATAAAAATTTTTACAATAAAACAACAAGCTTATTTTTTTCTTTCTGGAACACAACTCAAAACTATTTCTGAAACAGGACTTATAATTTAAAAACGATCATTCACATTTGGATTACCTGATATTTTTTAAAAATTATTTTTTCATTTAAAACATTTAGTTTATGTTTTTTCGCTGTACAAAAAAAACTTACTGACTCCTCCGGCGGCGACCGCAACCTGGCAATTTGCCAGATTGCATCCCTCAAGATTAAGGGCAGGGCAACTGGCTGATCGTAGAGCCCTAAAATTTGTTATAATCTTTAACATTGTTGAATAGAAAGCTTTAAATCAAATTTTTATTTGAACAAAGTTTTTGCTATTTTTGGTATTAGGTCTACAAATATGAACTTGCGTTTTTTCTCGGTTAAAAACTGGATTTTTTAAAATTTTATTTTTTAGTTATCAAAATCAGCATAAAAAATGTTATTTTTACAGATATGATACTTATTATGGTGCTTTTTTATTTATATTAGAGTCCTAACTATAAACTTCCGCGGACTTTTACAAGTTATAACTTTTTTTAAAAATAATATTATTTGACGGGATTTGTTTTGTTTTGTAGCTTGTTGCAATGCAAATCGAACGATATATAAGACTTGTCTGTTTGTCTTTGTCTATTTAGAAAAATCTGGGTAAAACTTGACTAAGCTCAGTTTGGAGGTGCGGTATCGCAGGCGACTATGAATTTAAACAAGGTAAAAGTGCTATTGGATGCCATCGTACGTTTGCAAAAGTTTTTGGAGAAGACGTTATAAGTGTTAGACATGTGCAGACGTGGTTTTCAAAGTTTCATACTGTGAACCTTGACCTTGTGGACAAACAACACAAACGAGGTCATGAAGTGGCAGATGCCATCAACTGATTGAGTTAAATACTAATTTAGGAGTTGTCGCATATTCTTCCCCGTACCTCGCAAACCATCGCCAATCATCTTCACAAACTAGGAAAGCTCACGTCATGCCAAAAGAGGAACTAAAGACAGAGTGACATTTCGTGTAAAAAACGATGAAGTGTGAAATTCTATTTTTTGTAAAAAATTGTTTGAAATTAAGCGGTCGGAATTTTGAAAATGAAATTCGTTTGTGGTAAACTTGTAGTGTCATATCTGGACGATTCTTTGAAGGATCAAGACTAGTTTGGCCTTCAAAGAACCGCCGAAACATAGCGAATTTTTTAGTATTTGTTACAGCTCAAAATTTGATTTATTTTAACTATTATTTGATAATTTCACACGTTTCGTTCAACATTTTAAATATTTATTTTATTTTTTGAATCAATATTTGAGACTTTTGAGTTAACGAAATGCCACGGCCACCTTAGTTCCATTTTTCTTTTATCTTGGCATGATGTGAAGCTCAACAAAAGTGGCAGGCGGGTGCTCCGCGATCTCAGTGATTCCAACATGGCGACAAGGGTCAATACTTGTGATATTTTGTTTCGCTTGTCCAAAACTCGAGGTTTTTTTAACCAATTATTACTTCGGATGAAAGCTGGATACTGTACAATATAAAGAAGGTTAAAAGACAATAGATTGATATTGGCTCAAAAGCTGTATCTACTCCGAAACCTGACCTTCATGGTAAACAACAAAACCTTCCGTTGCGTATGGTGGTCTACCACGCGAATAGTGTACTACGGGTTTCTGAAACCTGGATAAATAATTACGGCAGATGTCTACAAAGAACAATTAAAACAAATCAACCATGCTCTCTACAATCTGGGGGTTGATATTTCCGCTGTGAAACTTTGACAAGATGCCGCTCGAACTCACAGTCCGAAGGTGACGCCAGAATCTCTTGGTGAATTGAGCTAGACTGTAGTGCCTAGTCCGCCCTACAGCCCCGACATTGCTCCTTCCGATTATCATATATTCAGAAGCCTGAAAGGTCGCATTGCTGGAATGCATTTCAAAAATGGTGCTAAAGTCATGATTTGGGGTGAAAATTTCTTTAAGACACAGCCGAGGTAGTTCTACAGATCTTTACCATATTGTACCTAATATACTGTCCGTGGATCCCACCACGAAAACGTTCGTGCCAATTGGCCGGCCTAATTCGTGGCAATCACGGATTTTTTCTCGGCAGTTGAGAGCCTCGAGTGTGTTTGTTCTGAGCCGTTGTTGTTTGTAAAGTTTGATATACGATTGATACTGAGTTTATGTTTGAACCTTTTAGTTAATTATATTGTTTGCTTTGATTTACTTTGTTTTTTTTTGCATGATTTGATTTGGTTTGAGTTATAAACTTTTATATTATCTTAATTGGCTTTGATTGTTTGAAGTTATTAGAAGTTAACTCATTACTTATTGCTTGACTTGTTGGTAAAACTGTCTTTGGCAGTTCTTTATTCATTTTTGGTTTAACTACGACTTATATTGTCGTAGATCTCTGGTTGAAGAGTCTTCTCTCTCCCAGACGGACGTAATTCCCGATTCGCCCCGGGTGGTTCAACCCTGCATATAGCTTCTGGGAGCTCTAGCCCTGTACATATACAATACCCTACCATATTATAACATGATATACCCTACCATCTCCTATCATACCATAACATACCATGATATATCCTATACAGTTTAGCGTACCATAACAAACTTTACCATGCCTTACCTTATTCAATCTTATACAGCAATACCGTGTACTATCCATGAGTATGGTAGAATAGGTAAGTAAAACAACATAAATGGTATAATATAGTCAAGTATAGTATGGCATAGTATGGTATCATATGGTACGTTATATTAGGATGTGGTATGGTAGATAGGATAGGTTATAGTAGGGTATGGTCAAAATAAAGTGGAATCGATGGAAAAAGATAAGTCTTTACATCAGCCTTCGTTTAGTCCGTTTTTTTTAAATTTACAAAAAAAGCTTCATCTTACCTCGCCCTTCGTTCCTCCCGCCGGCGTTTGCTCAACGCCGTCAACGACTCATCGAAGACGGTCGGGTCGTCCTCCTGGAAAATAGAAAAATTACTTTTGTATTTTTGCTTTGTTTTACTTAACTTCTTTTGTTCCGTTTTATTTTACTCTAGCCGTACGCGTACGCAGTCAGTTAAAAAAAGCACACAAGTCAAAATTGAACTGAAAAATGGCCAGAACTTTGTTTACAGTGGGAAAAATGGCAAAAACTTTCTTTACAAAACAAAAAATGCCTTTTCTAAATAATAAAAACATTTTTAAATAACAAAAAATGACAGGAACTTACCTTGGCTACAGCCTTCACCTTTTTACCGTCTTTCGGCATTTTTACACCGATTGAAGCATGAAATAAATTTAAAATTTTTTATAAAAAGTTATTTTTTAAAAGTAAAAATTAAAAATTGAATGTTGGTAGGAATATTGCAGAATTTTTAATTTTTACATGTAAATGTTAAATTTAATCTTAAATTTGCACAATTTTTATGTTTAAAGAATTTTTTCAGGAGGACAGAGTATATCAAGCTTGTTTTGAGCGTCAAGTTCTTGGACAAAGGCAACTTATTGAAATGGGACAGGTAAGAGCTCAAATCGACAAGAGAGCTAAGATTTTGATATCAGAGTTCAAGAAGAGAGGATCTAAATGCAGTTTTTCATTGAAGAGGTAAGGTTGAGATGAGAACGGAAAGGAGCAGTCGGCCAGCATTTCTCGTGGATAAAGGTGTTTCCTAGTTAGATGAAGATCAAACTTATGTTTAGGTATGTTTTTTTATATGCCTCTTGTTATTCAGGTAACAGTTTGCTTTATATAATGGAAATAATATGAAAAATATGGTTTTTAGGTAACAAAAACAAGGTTTTATGGATGTTTGGGCAATATTGTGCGCTTTGCTTTTGAAATTATTGGTGATTTGTAATATGTAAGTTATTTTGTTGTGTTCTCCTTTTATTTACTAAAGATTCGACTTTTTAGAAGTATAAATGAAATTTTTTAGAACATAAAGTAGCTTTATTGGAGCAGATGGACAGATGTGATCAGTATAATATTGTAGATTTGGCGATGAATGATTATAGACGGTTTTATTAGCATGCTGTATTAAATGGACAATAAAGCTCTTCATAATTATGGTGTTCAGTAAGTTGTTTCTTTTTTCTTTAATTTTTAGGTATTATAGTAGTTTTCGAAAACTGAACTGTGGGGTTATATATATCAACTGCAAGGTTAAGCATTTTAAATTGGTTGTAAATGTTTATGTTTGGTTTATTTACTTTATTTTACTGATATCGTGGTTGGTAGAGCGTATAAGTTTTAACGTTCGAGCTCTGTCTTTGATGTTTTATCTATTCGGTTAGTTGTAATTTCAAAAGTTATGTTCAGGATTCGCTTTGTAGTCGTTTGAGCTCTGATAGTAAGGCTTATAATAAAAAACGTTCAGTTTTGAAATGTCAAAACTTAAAAATTTTGTTTTTTTATTATTATTTTGATAATCCTGTTATTGACCGGTCGGGCGATGTTCGAAGTGCCGGAATGGGTGTGGCGAATGATAGGATGGAAGTTTTTTGCGAGATGCTTGAGTTGTCGACGTGATTTGCCAAATGATAATGTAGGTCTTCCCATATCCCGTTTGTAGCGTTATATATTATGACATGTTACCATACATGGCCTATTATAATGTTGTAGATTTTAAACTTGTTTTCATGAGATTTTTATCGATGATTGTAATTTTTGAATTTTATTTTTTTTCATTCGATATTATATGTTATGTTATTTTTATCGAGATATTTAGAGTTCGTTGTCATCGTTATCGGTTTCAAGTTCATCAACGTCTTTGAATACGGCCGTCGATGAATCATTTATTCGAATCAAGTTGTTGACGGAATGTAACGGACAATTGTGTCTTCGTATACAAAATGATCACCCAGTCAATTGGCTAGCCGGACGTTTGGGGGCTAAGTCGAAAAGAATTAAATTCTATCCAAATGTCTTTATTCTGCCTCCGGACCGGAGCAGCACGGTATGTAGTGTTTTTGTCAACGGTGTTATGTTCCACAGACGCGATATGTTTTATTCGATTTAGGTTTTTAAAGTTGACATTAACATTTACTACTGTACACTGACCTATTACTCTACTTACTACGACATTTGGTTGAACAAACCTGTATATTGTTCAAAATCAATTTGTAATTATTTCAGTTTCACGTTACAGTATCCACTCACCCATATCAAGTTGACGAAGAGAAGGTTAAAGCTGGAACATTATCTAGGTTCATTTCGAAAGCCAAATTCTCGTCCAAAGTCATTTTAGTGTACTTTTGGCTTGGGATGGAACCGCCAGATCGAAATCCGGAAACTTGTTGGAGGCAGCCCTTTTTGGTCCCATTGGAAGACCGGGAACACATCGTTTTCAAATTACCGTTACTTGAATAATCTTATATGTAATAAAAATTAATTTTTTAAAGTTTTTGCTGTTTTAATTTTTGCTTTGCTTTGAAAACAAAGAATAGCAGAGGTTAGGGGGCTAGTTTTGTCTATGGGGGAAGTCATCTTTTTTTATTTTACAGGGTGACGTTAGACTTTTCAAGACTTTTGAGGAGTGGGCGTTGATCTAATGGGTCCTTTTTTGTAATTCGGTTTAATTTCACACAACTTTACAATACTTTTAAAAACATTGGTAAGAGAGAAAACTTGTCCACCTACCATCATTATTCATCTTTTAGGTCATTACAGTAATAATATTTTGAAAATCAACTCATAATTGATGAGACATGTCATCTCGACCTTTTAAAAACAGGGTTTTATCCGTTTTTGCAAGTTCTCTACATCAAAAGTTGCACAAGGTAATTATTAATTTGCTCAAGGTTGGCGCCATTAATTTTTTGTTTTTGTGAAGGGAAATTCGTTTCTGAAACCAATCAAATTTCAAACCTGTCTTTTCACCGTTCCGTTCGGTTTGGCGTTTTCTTACTCTGATCAAGTTGACAAAAGTAAAGTAGGAAGTACAATTGTTTTTTGGTCAAATTTGGAGTTTTCGTGTTGGTAATTAGGGGGTCAAATAATGCTGTAGTGTCTTTGCAATTTATAGATTTGGGGCTATAAAATGTCGTATCTTTGGAAATATTGTAGCTACACTGTAATTTTATTCTTGTGGGATTTTGTTATAAGAAAAGCTTTTTTTACATTTCATATGTGATTTTTGCTATTATAGGAGGTCTCATTTGCATAGAAAAACCTCTCGATAAAGGATGACTTTTTGATTACTGTAGCTATTTTGTTATCAGACGTTTTTTGAGTATAAATAATTTTGGTAAGGTCATTTGTTGGCTATAAAGAGAAGTTTCTTGTTACGAGATTGCTTGTAACAGAACTCTACCGTATTTTTTAAACTAAAATTTTATATCTAAAATTTATTTTTAAGCTTAAAAACTTGTGAGCTTTATAAAGATCAAACAAATCTTTAGCATCCATTTGCACTTATAGCAAGGTTCATTACGAGCTGATGTGTAAAGTTTGTAATTGTTGTAACAGTCGCTAGTTCCATGATCTTACTTGAAATTGTGTCTCATGACACAATTAAAACGAAAGTTTGGAATCTTAAATGTTTTTGTGTTTTTTCGGTTTACATTGTTGTAAACGTAATTATTTATGTGGTATCATATTTATTTGGTTTTTTAAAGCGTCAGCTTACTTAATTTTATTTACCCTTGGTTCTTAATACTTGTATTGTTTTTCAAATGATTTTGTGCTTTCTAACACCGAAAATTTGCTTTGGAATGGGGCACAAAATTAGTTAAACAACCTGATATGTAATGTGGATCCATAAAATTACGTTGTGAACAGTATCGTGCGAAGTTTATGTGAGATCATGTCGTGTTAGCATTGGAATCTTTTTTTTAACTAGTGAAAATGTACGTTTAGGGTCCAAATGCTTCGTGGAGCACTAGTAGTTGTATGTTTGGCTTGTTGTCAAGCTCAACTTTTAGTTATCTCGCCAGAACTCAAAGGTAAGCTTCCATTAATTGCAGAATGTAACAAAAATATGGCCTATATAAGGGCTGTTTACTACAACTCTATAATGTATAAAGTATTTTTGTATAACGTATAATGTGATTCTCTATACTCTACAAAGTATAGCTTTTCATCAAAACTTAAACGTTTGTAATACTATGTCAAACAACTTGTAATACCACGTCAAATAAAACGTAAGAAACCGAATGTTGTAGCCTTACTTCCACGAGAGATGGTCGAGTTCGCGGATAGTTTATCAAGCAAAGAACGTGAGGTGGTGAAGACGGTGAATGATAAGAACGGCACGGCTACCTATATCGAGGATTTGAAAACAAAAGACGAAGGTTTGGCCAAAAAAGCAGCCGATCGAATTGAGGCGTTTCAGAAGAAATTCAACAAAATCAGCGGACCTGGTCAGAAGTTCATCGAAAGTGTAAGATTTTTTACTTTATAAACGAGTTTGGCATTCTAAATTGTTTTTATCGTTTTTAGACCTTTGTGTTCGCATTTTTTGCCTTCTGCTTACATTTACCTTGGTTTTCTAAATGCAAACAAGATAGACATGATTAAAAAACTTTGCTTTAGACTGTAATCATCTGATTAGGCCTAATTATAAGAATTTTATTGTGCTTTGTATTTTGTCATTTTATAGGTGATATACGAAGTAGAAGACAAAGAAGATGTGGATGAAACAGAATTGAAACAAATTGCTGCTTCGTTAACAGAAAAATGGGATCTATTACCAGCTGATATTAAGAAGGAAATTCGTCGATTTTTCTCGCATATTGCCAGAACTTTGGAAAGTAAGTTTTTGTTAGAAACGAGCTTTTTAAATGACCTAATGAAGACTGAAAAATGAAAGGCTGTCGAAAAAAAATATTAAAGTCTGAAAGTTATGAACAATTTATAGGTAAAAAATTTCGACGATATGTTGCGTAGAATCTACACACAAATTTACATGTTTTGCCATAAGTGCCAATTCAAACTCACGGTCTAACGTTCTATGTTATAGTAGTATTGTTGTAATTGTTAGAATAAACGTTTTTTTTTCATTGTGGGTTTGATTTTGTCAGCGCAACGATCACTGTAATGCTAACCAAGTAAACTGATTTTGTCACACTAATGCTAACCTTGTAGTCTGATTTTTTGAAATTTTAAAATTTTCGGGGCCATACTAGAGAAAGCACCCAACATAATAAAGGCACCCACTAATGGTTTAAAGCACCCAGCAATCTTTATTCAAATTTTATCATTATGAAACGTGGCGGTTTTGAAGAGCGGTGTAGAAGTGTCCAATTCGTGAATGGCGATTGTTGTAGCGAAAACTGAAAAAAAATATAAGAAGGTGCACGGCTACTGTAACTAGATAGTTGACCACTATAACTAGATAGTTGGCTACTGTAACTAAATAATGGGTTACTGTAACTAGATGGTTGGCTACTGTAACTAAGAAATGGGCTACTATAACTAGATAGTTGGTTACTGTAACTAGATGGTTGGCTACTGTAACTAGATAGTTGGCCACTACAACTAGGTAGTTGGCTACTATAACTAGTTAGTTGGCTTTTGGCTACTGTAACTAAAAAATGGGCTACTGTAACTAGATGGTTGGGTACTATAACTAAATAATGGGCTACTGTAACTAGATAGCTGGCCACTACAACTTGATAGTTGGCTACTATAACTAGTTAGTTGGTAGTTGGCTACTGTAACTAAATAATGGGCTACTGTAACTAGATAGTTGGTCACTATAAATAGATAGTTGGCTACTATAACTAGTTAGTTGGTAGTTGGCTACTGTAACTAAATAATGGGCTACTGTAACTAGATAGTTGGTCACTATAAATAGATAGTTGGCTACTATAACTAGTTAGTTGGTAGTTGGCTACTGTAACTAAATAGTAAGCTACTATAACTAAACAATGGGCTACTATAACTAAGATAACATTAATACTATGGTAAAATCAAACGTATTCTTTAAGTAAATACTAAATTCTTACCTGTTATCCATCTGTATAGCATAGTAAAAGTCTTTATAAACTCGATAGAAGATGACTTCTTTGAAGGTGGTTGATCTTGGCCTAGGTTGTCAGGTTGTCGATGGATCCATGATCACCACGGTCAGATTCCATGCTGACCCGACCGTCTCACGCAGTCGATAAAATATGAATGACCGTTTTCAAAAAAGGAAAAACAATAAAATGAAATTGCAAGATTATGCAAAATTTGAATACTTTTGGGTGCCTTAAATAGGATAAAAATTGGGTGCTTTCATTAGTAATACTGGGTTATTTCTTTAGAGTAGCGCTTAGAATTGGAAACAAAGCTTTCAACATAAATGCAGCTTTATAACGTTTTTGGTTTAAAAATGCATTCTTTTCAAAATTTAGACATTGAACGGTCGATAAATGTTGAGGGGTAATCGAAAGGCTGTCGAACATGTTGTTGGTGAAAATGCGAATGCTGTTAAGACAAACAAGGCGCTACAACATTGGCAACGCTTCACTGCAAAGTTTACTAGAAGGAAGGTATGACTAATTTCCACTACTTTGTAATTTTTTTGAACTTTCTTTTTTCTTGTTTCTACTGCATTATAATACTAGGTTGTTCGAATAATAATGCTGTGCTCCATAACCGCGAGAATTTGCTATAAGGGGGGACAGAGAATTATTTGAAAAGCCTAATATGTATAACTGTATTTCAGTGTCAATGTAATCAAAGTAATGTGAGTTTTAGAAATCGCAATTTCAACCGTTACTAGACGACCCCGTCTTGTTACCTACATGGAAGGATTCGCCTGCAAAACTGACTGGTATATTTATTGTACGACCGGATGGAAAGTTCCAACTGACTCGTCGGTACTTTGCAAAAGCTTCAAAAGGTTGTTTGAAATTTTATAAATGGCGCGAAATTAACGGTTCCTTGAAGGATGATCTAACTCCCGAATACAATATGCAACTAGATTCTGTAGGTTATTATACGATAATTTATATAAAGTTTCAAGTGAAAGGGACCAGGCCAATCTTAAGATTTCTCCTAGCATATTTGATATATCTAAAATAGGCACTAGGACAAATGCGGATTTTGGACATTTGCGGATCTGCGGTTTTTAAACATTTGCGGATCTTCGGTTTTTGGACTCTTGCGGATTTTGGACATTTGCGGATTTTTTAAAGGGGGTTTTTTTATTTTTTATTTAATTTAGTTGTAGTTTGGTATTAAATGGTACTAAAGTTTAAATTGGCACTGTCTTACTATTTTTTAATGTTAAGTAGTACTAAATTTTTAATCGGTACTGTTTTTATATTTTTGGTACTAAATAGTACTAAAAGCCCAAAAAGGTACTGTTATGTTAAAACCGTACTAATTCAAACTTTAGCACAATTTAGTACCATAATACTACTAAATTAACTAAAAAATAAAAAAAAACCTTTAAAAAATCCGCAAATGTCCAAAATCCGCAAGTGTCCAAAAACCGAAGATCCGCAAGTGTCTAAAAACCGCAGATCCGCAAATGTCCAAAAACCGCATTTGGCTGTGCATTTGTCCTAGCGCCCTAAAATATGGTTTTGTTTGTTTTTTACAAAATACGGATGCTTCTACCGATTTTTAGTTTTGAGTAGGCTATGCCATAACGTTTTGGTTGATACGGACAAAATTTTAGCTAGATCAAATCTTGTGCAACGATGTCAGCAAAAGGTTCATTTTGTGTTTTCCAAATGGAAATTATCAACTACGACCGGTAGAGAAGGACCAATATTGCAGGTGGAAGATCGCTCTACAACAACATCGTGTTTATGCCAGAAATCAAAAGCAAAGGAATGAAGGGTAGGTTCATAATATCAGAATGAAGGAGAGAGGTTTGTAAAATCTTTACTTGGTTAATATTATTGGTATTGTCGAGTTTATAGGTTTTTTACAGTTGTTTTAGTAGTTAGAACGAGTTACTTTGGTTTGAAAGATGAGGTGAAACATTTGCTTTAAAAACAAGTATCTACTAGATATCTAGTGATATAAAGCAGTTCAAAATCATTCAAATTTTCTAATTTTAAGAAGTGTAAAAGAGTCAGTGAAGACGCCAAAGTCTGTCAAAGAGAGGGAAATGGAGACTGCCATCGAAGCTTCTGAAAATAAAATTCAGTTTTTACTAAAGGATTTGGACCAAGCTTACCAAAACTGCTTAAAGAAAGGAGATTTTACCGAGTTTGGCACGAAGTAAGTTATTACATGTAATAAAGTGACATCACAATCGTTTTAAAATGCATTTTTATTAACATGTAAAATTGAAAACATTGTTGTTAGTCTATTTTTAGGTTATATTTCAAAGATTTCAATGCTTTAAAAAGCTGAAGAAATATAAAGAATGGTTAATATAGAGATACTGTGGCTATTTCTGATATGTATTTTAACGTTGTACATGAAAAACTAGTTTACACATTAATTTTTTTAGGGTTTACGAGAGTATTAACGCATTCAAAGTTTTTGTGGAAGCGAATCACAAATCGCAGCAGAGATCGAACGAGTTATTGTTGAATTTAATTGAAAGACAGTCGAAAGAGTGCAAAGAATTGCTTCAGGTGCTAGAAACCAACACAAAGGTTATCGTGGAGTCATGTGGTAAGTGGTGGTTGGATGAGTATTTTTTATAGAGGGGCATTTTAAGTAGGGTAAAGGTAAAAAAGTTAAATTTAAATTTTATGAGATGGTAAACGTAAGGTTGGTTAGAATAAGGTAGGGTGCTGCACCGTGATGTAGAGGATGGGGAGGGAGAGATAAAGCATGTTAGGATATGACAAAGTAAGATAAACTAGTGAAGGTTAGTTTATGATAAGCTAGGACAGGAAAGGGCGTTTTGCTTCAAATTGGCCTACAGTTTTTAAATTTCGAACTTCTTATATGGTTATTTTTAGATGAGTCAACACTAGTACCTCCTCCTAGCCCATCGGAGTGTCAAGAACCGGAAGAAGTGGTGGAATGTGAACCATCTGAAAGTGGTAATCTAATGTCTTTTGCTTAAACATTTTGATTATTTCTCTCTTTTAAAGATTAAAAATTAAAATTTAATTTTTTTAATTTTTAAATTTAGAACTTAAGCTTCATCCAGCGTTTGAACCGATCAGAAACCCAAGAAAGTCATTGCCAGCAAGAGAATGCTTTGGATCAGCCATACCAATATCAGCAATCTTTAGACAATCTTACCCTGTCTTTGCGTATCAGCCTTTAGGGAAGCTTCAGGTAAGTTTTTGAATCATAATTTTTATTAAAGATAAATATGTATTTTAATCTTGAAAATCTACCATCAACGTACTTAACATAAGTCTATAATCTGACTTCTAGGTCCTAATCGAAGGCCTCCGTTACGCCGCGCCCTGCCTCAATCGTCTCCACAAGATTGCCGAGCCGGCCGATCGTATGTGTATGGTAGCAGCGATGGTCGTGAGTGTTTGTTGCGTAACAATCGAGAAGAATCGACGCCCATTCAGTGCCATTTTGGGCGAAACTTACGACTACATTAGTCCGGATGGATGGAAGGCCTACGCGGAACAGGTCCAACCTCAAATGTCGGCCGTTCATGCCAGTGGAGAACGGTGGGAAATGTACCAAAGTGTTGTGACTAAAATAGAACCAACATTGAGTGGAACTGTCAAGATTGTACCACATGGTTCGGTGAAATTGAAGTTGGACAATGGTGAAGAGTACTCTTGGAATCCGGTAGGACGGATTAGATGAATAATTTTTAGTGGGGGGGGATTTCATAATTTTATCTAGATAAAAACATGTCGAAGTCACCCACCCGCTTATATAATAGCAATGACACCGTCACTGATAAAAATATTTTAGGTAACAGTTGTATGTCTCAACATACGAGGGGAAGCCGAAAAAAGAACTGTCAAGACTGCCGGTGATATGACTATCACGTCCAGCAATGGTGTCAAATGTAAAATGACATTTTATGAGGACAAAGATGCGGTTAAAGGAGAGGTTGTTCAAGATGGAAAGATGGCTTACAAACTGGTCGGTTGCGTTTCGAAAGGCTTGAATAGGTAAGAAACTCTTTTTACTTTACTGTGCCTAAACCTCTGCATTAACTTGCTCTGTCCTATTGAACATTATCTTATCTTACCCGTCCATGATACCTTATCGTATCCGGCCTATGTAGCTTCTTTTAGCGAATCTAGTGTTATATAGTTTTTTTAATAACAACTCAAGCTTCAGAATCACCAAATCGAATGTTCAAGAACGTCTGTTTGAGGCGAGTAAGCCAGACCCTGACATGTTTGCATTTTACCGTATGAACGCAGTTTCGATGACAATGAACCAAGTAGAAGATCATATGAAACCTTATATACCACCAACTGACACCAGACTTCGAAAGGAGATCAAGGACCTGGAGGAAGGGAGATTGGAACATGTGGAAGAAGCAGTCAAGAAACGTGCGGAGGTGAGTTTAATCTATAAAGCATGATGTTAAGCTATAAAGTATATACCTGGGAAAGCTCAGCTGATGTCATTCCTCATATTAAAGCCCGTTCCGTCAGTTTTTATATGTTTGTGAATTTACAAAGTATAAAACACAACTTTGTGCAAAAATTTAGAGCAAACTGTCTACAACAACATAGGCGGATGCATAGGGAAATATTATTGTAATTTGAAAACTACCGAACTATTCTCTGTCTTAGATAGTAAATCAAAGAGTACTTTTTTAACTTTTAAACGCATATAAATTTACAGTGCATCAAGACCAAGTTTACGCAAAATGTCAAAGATAATATACTATAATATAAACGACAGCTGATGCTAGGGCGAAATTTCATTGTAAGATGTAAACCTGCATAATAAAATGTGAAAAGATAAAACATTTTTTTATATTTTGTACAGATTTTTAATTAAAGTACAATTTCAGACAGCGCAACTACGATTACAAAGGTATCAACCATTGTGGTTCCAACCCCAGAACGATACCACCGGTAAAACCTTCTTCTTGCCAAACGGAAGATACTGGTCATCCAAAATGAACAAATTTGACGACCCAATCAGCAAAACCTGGATGTTGCCCATCGACATGACCAAATGAAAGTACCATACTTGATTCAATGTGTTGTGATCTCTTTTGTGACCAATATCAGTTGTGATGTGCAATATAAACCTTGAATTTCTTAAGGTTTTAAATGAAAATAAGAAAAGAAGTTGTTGAGAACTACAGAGTAATAACTTACTTGTTATAATATTTAGGCAATTTTTGTCAAAAAGAAAGAGGAACACGATGTAAAATAAGGTTACAAAACGTTTTAGGAAACATAACGTACAGGACAAAATCAAATTTAAAAGCTTTTGAGAATAATACATATTATGATTGCTCTTTAGCTTTAGTTATAGTGACATTTACAATTAGTTATAGTAGCAGAATAAATAGTAAATTTTCCTATATCAACTAACACAAAACTTGCGAAATACCGATAGAGGATTTCTAAAAAATTAAGTCATCTCAATGCATATTCTTGTCATTGAGCCCAATGGAATAACAATCTAAAAATGTAAAATTAATTTATTTGCCTATTTTTTATTATGCTCTAGAGTACAATTGTTTTAAATTAAGGTTTGCAAACTTTAATTAATAATGTCAAGATGACGGGTTTTCTAGACAAAATTTTGTTTTTTCGAATTTTCCAGATTTTACAGTTTTTCGTGGCAATAAACGTGGCAACTTTTAGTCGAACAGTTTTATTGAATTATCAGTTATTTTGATTTTTTATTCTATCTTTTTGATCGTGTTACGGTGTGATTGCTATAAACTGTTTAAAATATCGTAAATAATGTAATTTTAGACAAAATGTGGCAAAATACAACGATCAACGAAGAACTAGATCCAAATGATACCATGTACGACTTCAAAAAGAACGATACCGCTAATGAGAGCTGTAAGTCTTTGTCGAGATAACATTTTTAGGTAATATCTTGAGTTTTTCGAAGTTTGTGGAATAGTAGTAATTTAAAATCATATTTTACATTATATTATACATGGTCTTTTTAAAGTTATGGTATTTTTACAAGCGTTAGATAATATTTCAGAGTTTACAGTTATTGTGATCTCTTTGGTGTAATATTTAACATAAAAAATTGTTTAAAATACTGTAAAACTACACGGAAACAGAGCTAAAACTATAAATTTACATTTCAGCGTTGGGTTTTCCATCTGCGATGCAATTCAACAATACAGAAGATTCGAAGCAGGATTTTCCTTTAAACAATGACACTATGAATCAAAGCTCGTTCTTTAATCAAAGTCGTCGAATTTCAGCCGCTTTTAACGATTCGAAAAATCCTAACTCAACGATCATTTCGGATCTGAGCTCCTCGGCCGCAGGTTTTGGCCGAAACAATGAGACTCGAGAGGAGTTTGACAACAAATCCTTTGGAGCTTCTACCAATGACAGTAAGTATTGATTTTGATTATTGTTTTGTGTTTAGGTAATATTGAAGTTATTATGTTTTGTATTAGAAAGTGAGATGATAAGGCCTAACTTTTGGTCTAGGTTGAAGAAAAGTTTAAGCGGTATGCGCTTGAAAGTTTGATTCGGATTATAAAATACGCCCTAGTGGAGCTTATTGTTAATATTTATGTTAATTTGATGCTTTGTTGGTTAAATTTTATTTTCAGTTTGAAAATTGAATTTTTTGAAATATTTGCTGTAGAAAACCTTATCTTTGTTGCTATTCTTTCTGCTTTGATTAATATTACGATATTTTAGCTTATGTACGTCCAATGGGGAAACTTAAGCCGGAGCTGGAGAACACGGACAAGTATTGGTGCGAATACTTTGACTCATCCTTGAGCGACAAGTTTTATACCAATAGTGTTGCCGGCTTTTCTGAAGCTACTTTGGAAGTAAGTTGAATTTTGTGTAATGGATTATTTGCTTTTGGTATTGGTTTTATATGATTTTAAGGTAATATGCGCAATGTTATGGCGATAATGACATGTGTTTATTTATATTTGTGGTTCGGACAGTTTCATTCGTATAAAAGCAATATTCTCTTCGATTTTAATCTTGTTTTTTGGTTCTTTTAGCGTTTTTATTTATAAATTTGTCTGAAAGTTAGGTTTTAAGGTTTTTTCTTTGATTTTTTAAAAGTTTTGGCTCTTGGAACTTTAGTTTTAATATGTTTTAACTGTAAAAAGTAAGAGAAGATACGAAATTAATCAGGAAAAACATAAAAATAGTTTTATAATAGAGAAATCAATATTTTTATTAATCTTATTGATTTTTAGGGAATTCCAGAAAATCGTGATGCTGTTATGAACGTAAAAGAGGTGGAGAAAAAGGTAAGATTAGCAGTTATTTTACATTTTTTGAACATTGTGAGTATTATTGACATTTAATAGCTTTTAATGTTGATAAAAGTTGTAAATTGCTTATTAATATTACTGAAATGTCTCGTTCACAATAGATTCTAAGGATAATTGTCATTTCTAGCCCAAAGTCAAAATCAACGAGGAGCCAGAAGTCCGTCATTTGCCGGAAGCGACCGAGAACGAACGTACTCGATGCCAGATCAATAATGAATCCGTTAATCACTTCACTTACATCAGACAGTTCAGGAAGAACTACGAGAAGAACCGCAAGAGGGGACTGGTCGATGTGAACCTTCGCGATCGTGAGCATCTTTTTGGACTGGATGCGGAGTATGAAAACGACAGCGATGACGAATATTGCGGACCCAGCGGAATAACTACAGAGACGGTGGATCCACTGACGGGCTTGTCTGGTGATAAACTCAAAGAACGACGAGAGAAGGATAGTTACGAACTGTTCCGTGAACGTGCCCGTACATTGAAACACCCGTTGTGGAAAGGAGACGATGAGGAGTCGATCACTGGCTTGTTCGACCGTTTAGGAGTGAAGGATGAGGATGCGAATATGGTTCGTACTTTTTTGTACGCTCACAACAGCCACAAGTCTATGAATGTAAGGCTTTTTATTGTAGTATATGGTTTGGGGAAGAGAATTTATGAAAAATATAAAAGCTAGGGTTATGGGTTTAAAATATTGCAAAGATTTTGAGGTTTTTGCACTTTGAAAAGATTTTTTTCATATTTACAAAGGTTTTTAAAAAGTTTCATCTAGAATAGCCTATCACCCATACCATTTTAAGCACCCATCGATCTTGTCCAGAACATACCCCCAAATATCATAAATTTCAATTTGCTTAAAAGTTTGAACTACTGTTTCTATTTTACTTCGCACTCCCATCATTGTTGTTTACACCTCCTACGCAATAGATCGCACCCCACCCTCTGTAGATCGCACCCCCCACCGTTGTAGTTCACACTCTCAAAAAATGAAATTTACAACCGACACGTAAAAACTCAAAAATTATTCATTTTTTAAATTGAACTTTACGAAATCAATGAAAATGGGTCTAAAAGGCAGCAAATTTTGCAAATTCTTCATTCTGCTCCGTCATTCACCGCTTTGGCCAGTCAGTCGATCAGCACTCTCTCGCGCCATTCTCAACCTTCAACTTCGGACATTTTCAATATGGTTCGGCCAAGTAGGATCCACTTGTAGTTAGAGATTGGGTGTTTCACTGGGGTGCGAACCGGTTGGGGGTGTGAGACGGAATGGGGGGTTGTTTTGGATGAGCGCCGTTTTTTATTATTTATGATAAGTATTACTTTTTTACGAATATTTTGTTTCTTTACATTAATACTTTTTAGTGGTTCCATAATTACCTGAGCAGAAATCGAGGTATGGTCTACACACCTCATACTTTTCAAATTCTCAATGTTTGGACTGTCGATAGACCGTATGATCGAAGATTTAGATCAGAGCTTCCAAACAAGTAAGATTTTCTCAAGATTTTGGAATAGTTATTATTTTTACAAACTTTTGTAGTAAATTGGATGAATTTTGTGTTAATTTAAAGTTTATAGGATGTTCTTGCTTCACGGACTTCAGAAGGATCACGTCTATAAGCTGTTGAAGTTTGGCTTTGAGTGTGAAGAAGCTTATGGTGGCGTAAGTGGATTTTAGATTTATGGTTTTGTTACTACCAAAAAAAATATTTTTGATTTGTATTAAAATATTTTTTAATTTTCTATTGCAGGTCAAATCCGTGTTCAAAACTGCAATTTATTTCCAATCTTGTTCGACCAAAGCTGCTAACTACACGGTCGAAAACTCGTACAAGTACGAGAGGAAGGCGGATCGAGAACAGATCAAGCCAAGAAATGGAGAAGTCATCTATCTTTTGTTGTGTAACGTAGCCTTGGGTAGAGCTCTTGAATCGGACGAAACCATCAAGAATGGGACCTTGAACAACTTGTGGAAGGCGTACGACTCATTGCGATGCGTTGGACTGTGTACACCGTTGGGCAAGGAGCTGGAGTAAGTTTTGGGAGTGGATTGCAGGGACGTATGATAGTTAGAAGGTAACTACTCTCCCATTAGCATCTAGAAAAAACCCAAGTTTCTTATTTTGTTACTTTATACTGCTGGAGGTCTGCCACGGGGAAGAAATTTTTGAAAATTTTGTTAATCATGTTCGAATAAAAGTTGAGTTAAAATATTTAAAAATACAATTTCGGGCTTGAGAATGGAGCCGTTAGAATTCCGATGGGACCATATGACGAAATGCCACCAGATGACAAGGTAATCAAGACCAGAAGTCTTTTCGACGATTACTGTGTCAAAGACCCAAACCACGCACGCATCAACTACCTACTGGAAGTGAGATACAGGGAAGAACAGGACTAATCAACTAATATTTTGATCATTTCCGACTATTTGTTGTAATTTTAAGAAAAAATTTATTGTTATATGTTGCTTTTAGTAGAAATTGTTTTGACTTTTATTATATTGTTGTATCTCGTTGCGAAAGTTTTATTTTTTACTCATTTTCTTTACGGATCTTAAGGGACTTCCTTTATATTCTTTGGATTTAAATTTTAAAACTATTTTATTCTTAATGATCTAAAAAAATTACTTTTAATAATATTTATTCAAAAACTTGGCTTTCGAAAGAGTTTAGGCTTACAATTGAATGTTTTTTTATTTTTGTCGTAATAAAGTTTCTATTTTTTAATTTACAATGTTAAGGAGTTGTTGAATTATGGTAGAGGTATTACCAAAATATTGAGCTTTGTACTCTTTGCGACAGCAAGTGGAAAATACAAAGAAATGGTTTGTTGTGATTTTTTAGTATAAAACCGTACAGTAGAGCAGATACGCTGTGATGTCGTCAGGAGATGTTGGAATGAACTTGACATTGTCAACAAGAGATTGGTATGGCAAGTATATTATCGACCGGATTGATATGAATCTCTTATGGTATATCAGGTAGGTTTTATTCACAATATTTTGATAAGGGGTGAGGTTGGACAAATTGAAGTGTAATTGGGCAGGAACGTTATTGGAATAGGTTTGTGGTATTTGTTGTACATGTATAAGGTGGTTATTAGGCTTGGCTTTATGACAAATTTTAAGATTTGTGCTAAAATTATGTATCTCTTTGGATACTGGCTAGGCGATATTGTTATTTGTGATAGTAGCTATGAATAGGTTTTAAAAGTAGAATATCTGTCTGTAATGGTAAAGGTTTTAACCGAATTCGGCTTAATTTAAACATTTTTGATAGGAATGTGAGCAACAGTGGATAAACCTTTGTTTGGGCCGTACTAACGACCGAGTTTAAGCATCCCTTTCTTTAACATATCTGAAATTAAATTTCTTATTCAAAAGTCTTTTAAGTTTTTTATCAGAAATCAAAAGCCCATCAAAACCGCACAAACCAGAACGACAACCCCATAAACCCTCACATCTATAAATAACAATAATGGCTCATTAAGGGGCAAAGAATAACAGAACGTTCCTCGATTAGAAATTATCTCAGCAAAACAATGAACTGCTACTACTGTTGTTCGTATCCAAATATTTGGGTTCGTGGAGTTAATGTTGTTGCTCTTGAGTTTAATTTGATCAGCGATTACCCTTATCTCGTGGCTAATGTTTCGACGCGTGCGGGCGGGTTTTTTTATCGAGTTTGCGGTTGTTTACCTTGATGAAGGTGTTGTTTTGGATTCGGTGGAGATATTGTTTTGCAATATTATTTTTTTTTTGGATTTGGCAAAAATTGTAGTATCTACTGTTATTGTGGAATGTTTAAAGTTAGGGCTTTTAGAATCTTTTGATCAATATTCCTCTCTCATCACTGCTAATCACTACAAAAGTTTAAAAATCGCCTCTATCTAACCTTGAAACTCTTAAAAACAGCTCTCTGCAATCTCAGGTAATTCAACGTGGATCGATTATTTTAGCCAATTTCAAAGTAGTCGAAAAAAAGAATTGACAGCAGGAAATACAAAAAAAAATTTCGTATTCATCATAGTGTATTCATAGTCATTGTGCGCGATTGAATAACTGACGACCATTACCGGAGGCGGTAAACGGTTTCGACGTTTATGCAGGCTGACAGTTCATGTTGACGTTGCCGGTGCATTGCGCAAACTGTTTACGAATCGAGTTTGTAGATTCAGGTTTTTAGATCAAGGTTTGAAGATTATTTTACGGTAGTTTGTTGACTTGTCATTCATTTTGATTTTTTACAATCTAGGGGATTTGTGAGTTTTGCTGGTGATAAACGGTTTAGTATCTAATCAGGCTTGAAGTGTCATAAATTTCATCGTTCGTTTATTAGAAAGTATGTCAAGTAGACTTGTCAAGGGACCGGGGCGGGCTGTTCTAGTAAGCCCTTTTTCGGGTCTAATGTAGAGAGGGTTATCAGTAAGGTATTCTTTATTAATTAGGCGTAATGTTCGTAGAAGTTTAGCTATGTCATACTTTTTTAAACGTTGTTGCCAATTTGGATTTTAGGCTTATAAAACATTCTTTTTGAACTTATTAGTGGACGAAGACTAACTACTACGTTTTATGTGGTGTAGGTAATTTTGCAAATAATTTTCTTAATCGCTTGAGTTTGAGTACTGTAAACAGACTTTGGGCGTACTGTAACTTTTTTAGAAATAATTTTATATTTATTATTAATAGGCGTTTTACAAAGTCTGTCATTTTTATCATAAGGGTATAGTCAGGGACGTCGCTACAGGTTTTCTCTGGGGGAGGGGGAGGCTGGAAATAATTTTTCGTCTACAGGTCTTCCTCCTCTCTCAAACGACGTCTCTGTGCATAGTGTCTGTTTTACTGCACGTTTACGTAGGGCCGAAAGTTGACTCAACGGTACCTATTTAGTATGATCCTCGAGAGTATGAGGCCTTCTTTATAATGACAGCTTTTTGAGTGTTTTTGTAATAGCATTCTTAGAAAAAATTACTTGGTTAGTGTTACATCCTAGTTATAATAGAACTCTGTTCCAGTCTCTTGAGTGTCATACTGAAGAAGTTTGACTGTATATTCTTTCCTGAATATTTCATTGAAAGTCTTTGTAGCATTATTTAATTGAACTTGTAACAATAGCAATTTATTTTAACCGCGCTTTTAACTATGACAACAAACGTCACATAAGTTTGAGCTGATTTCATTGTAAAACTAATCCAATTAAGATGAGCGCCGAAACTTGAACCATGGATCAAGATGGCTTCTTTTGTATTTACAGTTTAGCGTTTTTATATCCTCCCTCCCTATTCAAGCGGCTTCTTTCACATTCGTGGAGATGACAATTATGTTTGTTTGTGTACTGTTTTTACGGTTTGTTATGTCATTGTTGCGAGTATTTTTGGAAGGCGGGTAGATACTTTTAAAGTAAGGTTGATTTGTGGTTGTGTGGTACTATCGTGGTGAATGAGGTGTTTTTCGTGGTATTTTATGGTGTTGTGATGAAGATTACGGTAGTTGATGATTAGTTTTGACTATTTGTGGTCCCTGGGTAATTCAGAATTGTGTTGCTCTTTCTCCTCTTCCTTCAGATAAACATGTAGCGACATTTCTAAACGGGCGTCTGATAGTTCTTTTTTTGGTCTGTAATGTTCATTTTCAGGTACTTAGTTTCACTTTTTCATAGAACCAGTACAACGAGGTATAACTTATTGCTTGCTATTACTGTCAAACAAACTTCTTTAGTGACACTCAAGTTACTGGACCAAAGTGCCATTATAACCAAGGTGTCACGCTATTTTTGAAAGGAGCGCGGTCAGAAAGCTTATATTATAAAGAGAGTGTCATACTACTGAGTGTCGTACTAAAGAGGTTCACTGTAATGAAATATGAATAACATTTCTAATTTGTAGTTCATGATTTATAGAGCTTTAGAAAATTGCCACTAGACTTTTCGACTCGAAATTCGTTTCAATTCAGAACAATAATCGGCTCAGCGACATTTCAGAAATAAGTGAAGTGCTTTTCACGATTAGTTCCGATGTTTAGCCGCGATTTTTGTGCTCGTTTTTGGCGATTTTAACAAAAAAAAGCGAAAAAATTTTTTTGAGAATGCTATTATAGGTAGATTCACAAAAAAAATTATTTTTTGATGCTTTTTGCATGCTTTGTTTATACTTTTTTTGCCAAAAGTAGCCTAATACCTATTTTGGCACAAATAGCCAAGTGTCACCACCCTTTTGTCAATTTAATGCCGCCATTCTCATGCTAAATACAATAGATTCAAATGGTCATCCTTAATCCCTCTTGTAATAAATACCTTTTGTGACCGGCGCTTGGCCTTGACACATTGGTTTTTTATTGTCGGAAGTGTCGAATATACGACGCTAATTGTAAAATAAGCTAGTTTTGTAAAGTTTTGGATTGTTGGGCTTTGGAATCATTTATTAAATTTTTTCTAATTTTTTTGTGAAAGGGTCCTCTATTTTCTTTTCATATTTATTTTTTCTAAAAAAACTTAAAAATGGCTTTTTATTTCATAGTACAGTAGATTGTTTGGGTTTAGATCTACTACTGTTTTTTTTCGAAAAATAGCGGTAAATTTGAAACCTTGACCTTGAAACCAATCAGATTTTCGAAAAATTTGCGCGAGTACGGTGATATTTCAATCAACTGAGTTAAGTACAGATTCTTATCATACTAATTGTCAGTCTTCAAGAGTTACGGATTATTTATGTCAAGAACGTTTTGGCACGCCATTTAGCTGATATTAAAGGATCTCGGGGTTGTGCGTAGGGTAGTGCCATTTTCTTAGAGGGAAGGGCAAGTTTTAAGCTTTTATCATAGGGCAAAGCAGTAGAAACGAGAAACGGGCCGGGCCTGAATGTTAGGCCCGGCCTATTTCTCATGTCCACAAAGCAGTTTGAGCACCAAACAACACAGGGTTTTTCTTAAAAAAACGTGATCTCTTGGCACATGTGTTGATACAAAATACAAAAATACGTTTATTCCGCGAAAACAGTAGCTATGATAAGAAGCGAGCATTGTGACATTGGTTAACATTGTTGGTTACACCCCCATTTACAACCTGAAAAACATCAAATTTTATTAATAATTGCGTAATTCCACGAAGAATGCAATAATGAACGGAACCGACTTGTAAACAAATGTTATACTTGATAAGGTCTGAAAGGGAAAGTACCTTGTCTATGCCAGGAATGCAAGGTATTAGGGGGTTTAAGTAATGCTTTTGAGCTTATCTTAACTTTGGACGAGATTTGTTATGTAGTTCAAGTTTTGGCTATAATCTTTATGTAGGGAGGACTCTTTCACAAATATTAAAAAAAAGTTTTTAAGTTGGTTTTCAGGGCAGATAAGGAACATTTTAATTAAAATCTGTTAGTTTTAGAAGTCTCAGCTATTCTTTC